CTTCCCCAAATTTCGACTTGACCACTTTAGCTGCTTGGATTGCAAATGGTGTCCCGACTGGTAGGTCCTTTAATTTTCTGATAGGTTTGCGGTCTACAATCGAAGACGCAGCATTAATTTTTGATAAATCCATCTATAAAAAAAATTGAGTCGTCTAACTATTTTGAAGCATAACACGAAAAAACAGTTGCACTTAGAGACATAAAAAAGAAAAATATTAAATAAAATAGCACTTACTTTTTTTAAAATTTTCGCTATCTCGTCTCTCTCGAAGCACTATTGTACTGCGGCCGTTGTTCCAGCTTGCAGCGTTGTGCGTTAAGTGTGAAACAATGATGACTATTGCATGCGCTCGCTAAATATAAATACGTGGTTGAGATAACACACGCGTGCATGAGATAATTGTATCGTAAAAATGCATATTATATGCATCATATTCTCAGTACCATTTTTATCGAGAAAACAACATTCATTGCGGTTGCAGTATTTTTTATATAATTTCTTAGTAATACATGAATGTATCGTTTGTCCGGCGGAAATTCCAATTACAAGTTGCACATGAGAGTAGAAATTTAGAAATATAGTAAATTCGTGTATGATTATTGTATATTTGCTGCCTAATTTTTTTTCAGTCAAGATTTTGATTGGGGGGTAAACGAATTTATATTTGCTATCTGAGATTTTTGACATCATTCTCTATCAGGTGTTGGTTCATGAAATTGGACATGCTCTCGGCATAGCACATAGTGCTTCTCCGAATGCTATTATGTTTGCCTTCTATCAGCATGAGATTCGTGGTCTAGATGTTGATGATATAAATGCAGTACAATATCTATATGGAAGAAAAAACAAATATGATTCAATCCCAACGTCTACCACCGCATCAGCAATACCAAAAACAACAACAACTATAAGATCTACAACTCGTAAGCAGCCGATCCTCAAAAATTTGTGTGATATTATTCCAGATTTTATGTTTTTAGCTATTGCTCCAGAGTTTTCAAATTACCGATTATATATTGCACATGATATGTTTATATGGAAACTAGACTTAAACGAAATGATTATCCCATCTCAGCCTGAACTTCTTGTCGATTATGTTCCTACAGAATTACGTCAATACACTTTACAACATATTTTCCAATCAACAAACGGTGACTTGATTACCATTGTGTCTCCAAACAACTATTTCTCAGCATCATTCCCTACCATTAAATTTCTTGATAATTTTTCAATTGATATACCCGATAGGGCTCGAATCAATGCTATTTTTCAATCAAACGCAGGACGGTCCTATACCTTTTATAATAATATGTCATATATAGAATTTTCTAACGATTTTACTGATGTGTTGAACAGAGGACGGATAAGAGACATATTTCCTGGGTTACCTGAAGTTTAGGGAAAAAATTAAAAAACAACCAGAACTGAACCGTGAAATACATAATTTGATTCTTGTCTGTCATGAACCAAATCAGTTGTCGAACAATGATTTGAGTCGATTAGTATCAACATCTAAAGTACTCCCTGATATGTAGTTTTATTGAAAATACCTCTGGTTTGCGAAATAATATTGTCGGAATTTCTTGTTGCAAGTTGTTCAAGCGCGGGTATTCAAAACATGGCACACACACACACACCAATCAACCTTATTGTTATATATACTATATGTTTCAATAAAATATCCATTATACTATTTTCATTTTGAACGGTATCATCCTGTATAATAATAACAGTACATCGTATACAGGTTATGAGACATTCTGACCGACCGACCGACCGACCAGAGGAGCCCACCACGCTATTTAGGTCACGCCTTGCTATATACGATTTAACGATATACCGTCGGTCCATCGATCCGCTATTTTTCGATGCACCCCTGTATACACGTTGCCCCCCGTAATCCAGGCCAACACCAGACAGGTGCGACATCGGCGCCATCTATGCGCGAGATGCCCAACCCATCAATGGCAGCTGTCCAATGACGCATAGATTCCGTTAGGTTTGTACACCGCCAAACAAATCTACGCCATTTATGCGCGAGATGCTCAACCCATCAATGACAGGTGTCCAATGACGTATGACAGATGACGTGTAACGCCATCTATGCGTGAGATGCCCAATGACGCATGACAGGTGTCCAATGACACACAGATTCCGTTTGGTTTGACAGCGCCATCTAGCGGCGGAATCCCCAACTCATGAATACAGATTCCGTCCAACAACCTGTCAATGGCGCGCGACGCCAGCGCCTCTGGTGGCGGATTTTGGAAGTTTTGAGACCGAATCCCCATAAGACATCTACTTACCCTTCAGATCACAAAACGGCATTCGGTCCCCCAGAATACTCAAATTAACTAAACACCAGTAGATAAGTCATCCGTGCAGTGGTGCCAAGTTTCATTTATTTCTCTTTACATAATACTACTGAAGTCTCCTAACTTGGACTTGTATTATTATATTATTTTTCAAGGATCTCCAATGGATATAACCAAAATTCTTTCCAGCAACTTTGAGTACACTATTTGCTCGATTAAGACTATACAAAACGTTGCTAGCATACGACAGAAGGATGCCCAACGTTTCGTAAATTATAACTTACCTATGCAAAAATTATCAGATCATCGAGCAGCCCACACAATCAAGAATACTTTTTTCTATTACATGTCCAGGAGGTTGTATGAACTTTCAGATCGAGCACTTTGCTTTTCCAATAGCCTATGTCGTATCGACGACATCCTAATGATGATAAGCTTTAGACGCGTAATTTCCAAATCTGTGATATTAGCAGTTGAAATACTTCCCTGCCCTCCGGTTCGCAAAAAACAGCATTGAGTATCCTAAAATACTTGAATTACCTAATCACTATACTGAGCCTTACAATCATGTGACGTTATCTTTGGATAAGGAAATCACCATTCATGTTTGGTACCATCTATCTATGAGAATATTCCTAATCTTGAAATAAAATCGTATATCAACGATTTTCTCTAATAGCTCAGACTTAACCATATAGTCACGCCAACCAAAAGCCATATGATACAATCGTCCATCAAAATACCTTCGGATTCACAAAAAAACAGCACTGAGTCTCCCAAAATACTTGAATTTACTAAACCCTGCTAGATCGGTCTTCCGTGCAGAATAAATACACTTCTACCCTACGATTCACAAGAAACCAGCACTGAGTCTCCCAAAATACTTGAATTTACTAAACACTGCTAGATCGGTCTTCCATGCAGAATACTCTTCTACCATACGATTCACAAGAAACCAGCACTGAGTCTCCCAAAATACTCGAATTAACTAAACACTGGTGGATCAATCTCCCATGAAGAATACTCTTCAATACGCAAACCAGTGCTGAGTCCTCCACAATACCCGAACTAGCTGAATGGCGTACGTCTGACGTCAGATCGGTCTCCCGATCATTTTAATTCCAGTCAATAAAGCGCGTGCGCCCGGGGATAGGGTTTGTCGGTTTGTCTAAGATCTGAGAATTCATTTTATTGGCACCAATCGTGCTGGAAGGACGTTCAAATCTGTTGTGTATTCAAGAGTGTGTCTGAAAGGACTGTTGAGGTAAGTATGACTTTTTGAACTCTTATGCAATCGTTAATAGGATATGATGGTAATATGACTGTATTACTTACATTTAATGGAAAAGCAATGAATATTGAGTAGCGTGAAGGATAAAACAATGCTGTTCAAAAGGTCAACCCCCATAAATTTTACGCCAAACTTTATCTAATCTTGTTGGTTTAGTTTTGTATAGGTGATTCTTGAATGTAAAGCTACAATGTTTTTTTTTTCAAGTTAAAGAACAGGGTCAAGTAGATTGAGTGTGACCATACATCACTGAAAATTTAAAAATAGAATACTTCAATCAAAGCTCATTTTGGCTTTTTTCTAGCTGCTGCTTTACATCTTTTTTAGGGTACATACCTGTATATGTACTGATTCCGTTTTTTGCATTATAATACAAAATCACTACAGACTGTGCTTTTGACTCACGGTGTCAAGTAGCTCGACTTTATATGTAGACAATGATAATTTTAAACGGGAGATTGTGTTGATTATTTCCTATATGGTACAGTAGCGGGGTGATAAAATTCTAAATCTAAAATTGCAAATCAGAGATATCATGTTTTACTTCCCACGTCAACGGTCGAGGAAGTATTGTAATCGCAAGATATTTTGAAAGTGAGGTATTATGTTTTGTTGGATGCTATATGACATGTAGATCACGGAAAACCATGATACTCATTTCTGCTATAACGTGGAAAGTACCATTGGGACTTTGATGAAATTTAGACACAAGGTTGCTACGAGGCTATGGACAAGAAAGCTTTAGCTTTTAAAAATAGGTCCAGTGGCGTCAGAGAAAAGGGCCACAAACGAAAAAATAGAAATCGCTCAAACTTTGTTTTTTGACGATTCAGGGGCTCTTGATCATTATCCAAATAAATTTTGAGGGTTAGGAGTTGATGAGGGAGTGAATCGTAATTTCCTAAGGTTTTCTATCGGATCTATTTGACATATCTGACTTTATCAAACATTTGCGTAGAAAACAGGAAATCATACCTATTTCCTGTATCTGTACACTCAAAAATTTCTAGTGTTAATGCATGGATATAGTGTTTAATGATAACACATTACGTATTATTGAGTTTGGTAAAATTTCGAACATCATTCACTGGTATTGCTACTAGAATCAATTAAAAATAAAGTATTTTACTTTGACAATCAACATATACTATTGCTGCACGGAAAAAAATGGCTTGTGGATGTCAGTTCATTGGGAAAAAAGCTAATGACAAAAATTACTCTAATATAATTGGCTTTTTGACATTTTTGAGAGCACTCTTATCAAATATCTTTTCACTAAAAACAAGCATGTTGTATTCTTCCTGAAGATAGTCGATATTGTATATCTATTATTTTTTGGAATGGTATTATTTCTCTAAGTTGAAACGGAATAATTACAAAACAATATATTTGAACTTTTCCAGGGAAAGCCTTTCAATATGAGCAAAAATTGGTTTTGTAACAGAGGTCTATCACCTATCACACAGCATCCAAGAGATGAAGAAAAAGATAAGACTTCTGAAACAGTGATTACTGATTCACGTAAGGTGTCATCTGTGGTTAAACAAAACAGCGACCACAGTGACTGCAACTCGGTAAAACATAAGTATGTTTTTTTTGGTAGAGTTCCCATATTTATGATTTATTCTAGGTAATATCTTCTACATCCCCAAGATATGCTGTACACCCCCATCATCATCAATATCCGGTTTATCAGAAAATGTTCATTGCAGTAACTTGTGCAAGGACTCTGAGGTAATAATCATTCACTGCCTAGTCTGTGAACTTTTTTATTCTATTGAACCTTTTTCAGTACAACGTTACCTCGAATAACGAGAGCATAGTGGAAGATCCAGACCACCAAAGTGAATCTAGCTCGGTAAAGCAATATTATGTATTCTTTATGAAACATGTCTGATATATGTCATTCATTTCAGTTCATATCTCTTACTTCGCCTAATATATGCTGCACACCACCATCATCTTCTGTAATTTCTGATGCAGAAGATGAAGATTATAGTCCCCACACTAGTGAAGAGGCTGAGGTAAATATATTACTATTATTCTACTCAAGTACCCATTGAAAAATTTGGATTGGGTGGAGTTGTGTAGCCAATCCGATATTTTAATTTTGTAATTTTACAATTTTAATATTTTTCAACTTTCAAATTTTTTGATTTTTCGACTTTCCAATTAATAACTATAACATCTTTTCCATCAAAACGTTGCTATGTGAGGGGAATCTATGATGTTTAGAATGTGTCAAATAGATTGCGAAGAATTACTAGGGATGGAAGTGTATCATTAAACTAAATAAAAAAGAGATATACCCGTCCCACCCTCTACAACCTCCAACTCGCTAATTTTCCACCACAAATTTTTTTCTCAAAAATGATCAGTATCTGAAACAATAAAAAACGAAGTTTATGAGATTTCTTTTTTTGTTTTTAACTTTTTCTCCGCCGGCACTGGAACGCTCTTAAAAACTATATAGGTAGCTTTTCTGTCCCTGGTCTAGTGGTAACCTTCCCCCTCAAGTAATCAAGGACTCGACACAGCAGCAGAGCGGCGGACAGACTGACGGAAATGAGTGATCTACATGTCATATAACATGAAAATACTTTAGAATACTTCCTTGTCAGTTTTCTGATCTTCAGTCCAAGGAACAAGAACCGGTCTTTTTCTTCGGTAACGTTTCATCCACTTGTTGAGATTCCGAATCTGGATGCGGTTCTTGGATTTCTTCATATTGATATAGAGGCTCTGGGTGGTCATTATCCTGCTGCGCTTCTGATATCAAATTCTCGTCCAGATTCAATTCAATTTTTTCTAGGGATTTTTCTTTGAAATGACCTGCCTCGCCCTTGTCTATCAACGTCAAAATCTTGGAGAGTCTAGCCGTTTGGTAGACATCATCTGGTAATCGGTATCATGCACGGTGGATACCTAGTGTATGTCCCATAAAAGATGCGAGTTGTTCCACGTCATTTTCTGACATGTTTAACAATTGGGTCAAAGTTGCTATGACCTTTCTCAGACGGGTGCTAGTCAGGGCATGCGGATTTGTAACCGATGATAGGTTCTTATGAATTGGGTTTACCGAAAAGATTTATGTTCGACACCGTCTGAATATTATCTTTACACTCTAGTTTTAGATTCAAGTGCTCATGTACATCCTTGCTTATAAGAACTGGAACACCTCTGCCTCTTTTTCCACGAATTTCCATTCGTTTGTTAGATCTCATTAGAATTCTCTCGGTTTCCGTTATTGCTTCCGAAAACTCCTTATAGGCTTGATTGTGTTCGTCAGATATAGCGGATTTGTAAACATTTATGGGAAGTCGTTGTAGTTTTCCAGGCCGCCTCCTCTTTAATGAAAGCATCCTACATTAAACTGTCTCCAGTCAAGACGTGCATGCTTTTTCATTACCTGAACTTTTTGTAGCACTGACACCTGATTTGCAGCTACTTTCATAAGATAATCCTTCAATAGTTTAAGATCACTAGCTAATGGAACCAATGTTTGCATTATCTACTGTTGGCAGTGACTCAGATTTTTTTCAAAACGTGTAAAAGAGCCACACCGCAACATTTTTTCAAGGTTGTACCCATGTTCATAGCATATGTCGGGGATCTATAAGCTTGGCTTTCATCATCATATCCTGATGTTAACTTAGTTGCTTTCACAAGTATGTCATATCTATGTGTTTTTATAGCAATCAATAGGGTAATCACAGACAAATCTAATTCCATTAGAAGTCAAGCCACTTCTCCCATTTTCCTAGAAACGACTTGGACAAATTGTAGTTCCCTGTGAAGTTTCAGATATCAGCAAGCATGCGCACATATTATCATCTTTTGCAACTTGAAACTTTGTCAGGTCTCATGCGATGAAATGCTTTTGCTTTGAGCTCATTATCTACCTTTATATTATTCAATAACAAAGTTTGTCCTAAAGTCTGTGATCGTTTGCCCGACGATCCCTTCTCCGGGTTTGCATCACATTGTTTGCGATGACGCCATAAGTTCTTGGCAAAATAGTAACCCATATAGTGGATGCATGATTCCGTTTTTCCACACCTTTTCTAACAGGTTTTACCCCCTCGACCTCCGAAGGCGATAAAATTATGATTTTTCCTTAGAGCAAAAAGCAGTTGTTGCCTTTTACGGATCAAAACAGGTAAATGTAGATATTCAAAAAAACGTTCAAAAAACTTCGTATTTGACGTTTCAGAGAATCCCGATCATTTTCAAAAACATTTTTGGAGGGATTAAAAACTCTTTCGTCTCTGGCCTTCTCTCACTTGCCAAACAACAAGCGACAAAGCTTATCTCTGAGCGAAGTTTTTACTGTAAAAATAGATTTTATTATACCTATTTGAAAAAATGGTGTCAAGTAGGTTGACTCTATACGTCCTACCCCTTAGAGACAGCTTTTAGTGCAATTTTCAATATAGTGCAATCGAGTCTATAAATTTGCTTTCAAAAATGACGGTTACAATCTGAATTTGAAGTTCAGTATAAAGGAGTGATTTTGATGCCCTTAAATATCACCTAAACCTTAGATATCATCTATAAGTAAAAACTTTGAATTCAAATTGTAACCACTATTTTTGACAGCAGATTAATAGATTCAATTGCACTATATTGGAAATTGCACTAAGAGCCATCTTGAAGGCGTAGGAAGTATAGAGTCAGCCTGCTTGATGCCATTTTTCCAAATAGGTATAATAAAATCTATTTTTACTGGAACAACTTTGCTCAGGATAAGGTTCTCCGCTTATTGCTTGGCAAGTGAGAGAAGGCCAGAGACGAAAGAGGGAAATGTGGTTGAAAAACAATGGTCATTCCTTAGCATAGACGGCATGATATTTTATGAATTGATCAATGAAACAACATACAAAATTGAACGTCAATACTAACACTATTCACTGAACATTTCATTTGATACGCCTCCAATGATAAGTATAAGTACTGTCCACCTGTCGCGATGCTTATGCATTTATTGTATTTATATTTATTTTTCTTTTGAAAGGACGAGGAACTGGACAGGAGCGATGAGGCCAGAGACAACTTACATTCGGCAAGTGTCAAGAAGAATGTTACTATACATGCAAAAGCTGAATCAATTCCCACCGCAGAATGTGATCAGTCTGCACCCAGTCAGTCTGGTTCTTCATCAGTGAATACTGGACTGTCAGGAAAGAAGAAAAAAGTTACAGTTTTCTGTTGTTTTTGTGAATGTGAGGTTTTTCATTTTCCACGTCATTTGAAAAGAAACCATACGAATGAAATTGAGGTACAAGAATTTCTAGCTTTACCTGTTTTAAGCCGTAAAAGGCAACAACTGCTTTTTGCTCTAAGGAAAAAGGGTAAATTTATCAACTCTACGCCTTTGAGGGGAGAGGGGATAAAACCTGTTAGAAAAGGTGCGGAAAAAACGGAATATCTTCCATGCATCCACTGTATGGGTTACTATTCTGCAAAGAACTTATGGCGTCATCGCAAACAATGTGATGCAAACCCGGAGAAGGGATCGTCGGGCAAACGATCACAGGCTTTAGGACAAACTCTGTTATTGGGTAATATAAAGGTAGATATTGAGCTCAAAGTAAAAGTATTTCCTCGCATGAGACCTGACAAAGTTTCATTGGTTGCGAAAAATGATAAATTAATATGTGCGTTTGCTTCCCGATATCTGAAACTCCATAGGGAGCTACATTTTGTCCAAGTCGTTTCTAGGAAAATGAGAGAATTGGCTCGACTTCTAATGGAGATAAAAAAATTAGATTTGTCTGTGGTTACCCTATTTGATGCTCTAAAACCACACAAATATGACATACTTGTGAAAGCAACTAAATTAACATCAGGATATGATGACGAAAGCCAAACTTATAAATCCCCCACATATGCTATGAACATGGGTACAACCTTAAAACAATGTTGCGATGTGGCTCTTTTACACGTTCTAAAAAAATCTAAGTCACTGCCAACAGTAGATAATGCAAACGTTGAGGCAGATATAAAAACATGCATCCAACTCATAGAGGCAAATTGGCGATTCGATATTTCAACCAATGCTGCTAATGACCTCAACCTAAAAAAATGGAATAAGGTCACTTTGGTACCGTTAGCTACTGATCTCAAACTATTGAAGGATTACCTCATGAAAGTAGCTGCAAATCAGGTATCAATGCTACAAAAAAATCCAAGCAATGAAAAAGCATACACGTCTTTACTCGAGACAGTTTATTGTAGGTTGCTTTTATTAAATAGGAGGCGGCCTGGAGAACTACAACGACTTCCCATACATGTTTACAAATCCGCTATATCTGAGGAACACAATCAAGCCTATGAGGAGTTTTCAGAAGCAATAACAGAAACCGAGAGAATTCTAATGAGATCTTTCAAACGAATAGTAATCCGTGGAAAAAGAGGCAGAGGTGTTCCAGTTCTTATAAGCAAGGATGTACAGGATCACTTGAATCTAATACTAGAGTGTAGAGATAATATTCAGACGGTGTCGAACATATATCTTTTCGGTAAACCTAACTCCCAAGAACCCATTATTGGTTACAAGGTAATCAAAAAGTATGCGTCGTTATGTCAAGCGAAAAATCCGCATGCTCTGACTAGCACCCGTCTGAGAAAGCACTTGGCAACCTTGACTCAATTGTTCAACATGTCAGAAAATGACATGGAACAACTCGCATCTTTTATGGGACATACACTAGGTATCCACCGTGCATCATACCGATTACCAGATGACGTCTACCAAACGGCTAGACTCTCCAAGATTTTGACGTTGATGGAGAAGGGCGAGGCAGGTCATTTCAAAGGAAAATCCCTGGACGAAATTAATTTGAATCTAGACGAGAATTTGATATCAGAAGCGCAGCAGGATGATAACCACCCAGAGCCTCTATGCCAATATGAAGATATCCAAGAACCGCATCCAGATCCGGAATCTCAGCAAGTGGATATAACGTTACCAAAGAAAAAGTCCAGGGTTCTAGTTCCTTGGACTGAAGATCAGAAAAATTTAGTCTTGGTTCACTTTGGAAATCACATTAAATCTAAGAGGGCCCCAAAAAAGGCTGAATGCGATAACCTCATCGCAAGTCATACTGAATTATTACATAATAAGGACTGGCTAAAAATCAAAGTTTTCATCCAGAACCAGTACCGAAAGAAAAAATGAATACCATCTCAATTTATGAGCGAACCCGTTTTTTTAATAAAGTAGAAATTAAGTATGAACATATGTATCACAAACTAAGTATAAGCATTTTTTAGTAGTTTCATTTTGTCAATGTATAAATTCAGTTTTCTTCTTATGTATTTTCGTAAATAAAATTCATACCGATATTATTTGCGTTTATCCTTCGCTCCTATAACCGCGTGGTTGTCAAAGCACAAAATGTTGAAAAATGTAGGTCATTGTCCGAAAGCGAAGTTTATGCAATTTTCTCTTCGTTTGTTGACCACTCTGCAACCACTGCAGCTAAAGCGAATTTTTTGTGATTACATTAATTCCCTGCCAATAGGCGCGGTAAGTAAAAGCATATTTTTTAAATTGTAAAACTAGGATTAGCATATTTGTTTTTATTTTATTCTATAGGAAATTGGATTTGAGCATCACCTTTATCATATTTGAGAGTGTTTTTTTGTGAACATTTTTCCTTAATACTACACCATCCTTGATTTTCTATTCATGTGGTTGTATTTGCATAATGGTCTATCTATATTACCCTTTTTAATTTAGCTTGAGTAGCTTTACGCTAAACTTTGCTCTTTGTTCATATAATCATGTATTGTACACATCGTGACCCAATATTCCATGGACGTGAGATTACTAGTTATTTTCAGACTGAGAACAAGTCGATTGCACATAAGTTATCTGTATTCGAAGGTGCTTCGTTAGGGGGCATCAAAGTTTTCTTTTAAAAACACGTTTTCCAAGATATTTCAAAAGCCGGTAGGTCGATTTTAATGAAATTTGGAACACATATGCTCTGCTCAGCGTTCTAATATTTGCCTTTTACGAAAAACTCCAGAGCTTTTTGGAAGGGTGAAAACTACCCCCACACCTACATAAATTGTAGCAGAATTTTTCCCAACTTTCCTCATGACCGATTTTTTTATTTATTCCATCCTTTGTCTCTCATTAAAACGAGATATCTTTCATAGTTTTCGAGAAAAAAAAACCTTTTTTGGGGCTGGTTTCTAAAAAAATGTTTTAACACATCAAGCGTAAAAATCTAGTTGGCAAATAAACGAAGCACTTTTGCATAGAGGTGACTTATGTCAAATCGACTTGTTATGAGTCTAAAACCTGATTGGAAAAACATTTTTTTCCGAAAACTAGTAATAATAATCGTAATCATAATCATAATCACAACCATAATCGTAATCATAATTATATTAATAATGATAGTAATCGAACAAATATATTATTGCTGCATTACGGTACTCTCGGTCACGGACGCCCCTATTATAATGCCTGACGGCGAACTGGGCCGCACCAGACATAGAAAGGTGAAAAGCCGATCCTCTAACACAGCAAATATAATAAAATACCTAATACAGCGATGCCAATATTAAGGAGGATCTAAAAGCGATAATCTGGATACTGAATACCCGGCAGATGACCGATCCACTGTAGACCTGACTGGTAATATTTGATAATATACGGGCTGAATACCCAAGCGATCGTGAGTCCACCAAATCGGCGCGGCAAAACCCTGAACTACGGTACCCAAATTCGGCGAAAAACATGATCTAGGTCATCCCTCTGAAATTTTGCCAGGTGACAGAGGGGGGCCTGAGGGGCCGATAGGTGGAATTTGCGATAGGTCCTCCTTATACGGAGGACCTATCAGAGCGGAGGACCTATCGACTCTAAAAAGCCCATGAGTGGAGGACCGATCCATCAGAATCTACATATATATATATATATATATATATATATATATATATTGCGTGTTGCGTAACTGGCTACTATTAAAATTCAGGTTTTGATTGAATTTTCGTATATATCTGGAAATTATTTAATCACAAAATCATATTTTAAATTTTTTGTTAATTCGCATTTTGTCTTGGGGGGCTGTAGCCTTTTCGCCCCTATGGACCGACCGCCACTGGTTGAAACCTTACATAAAAGCTGGTTCGCACACCCACGGAAAATTGCCCCCCACCGCAGCGACCATAAGATAACAGTGGTGAGCCACTGTCAAGTCACTGCCATCAATTTTGATCAGCATAGTATAATCAAATTCAAGCGGATAACCAAATGGAAATGGTTTGGTTTGATATTTACCAATCCGTTCAAGCGAGTGTAGTTATCAGTTTGGTTATAAGATCCGTGACGTCACGAATCAGCTGTTATATGTCATAGTTATCACCGCAAAATTGTGGTATTTACCCAACTCAAGAGTAGTTTTATATTTCTGGTTATTATTTGAAATGTGACAAGTTAGAATTTTGCCGGGTATTGGATATTTTTATTGTACTTCAGCTTCATTTTTGAGAAAAATGATACAGGCTGACTTCAGTTTTACCATATTTACCTTATTAGTTATACTCATTACGGTTGTTGGCGACACTTTAAATGTAGTTCCTATGCTTAACAAAGTATCCTGTGTAGCCATATACCACAAGAATATTAAAATATGGCCATATAAACTCACTAGATGATATCCACCTGTATACGGTTTTGCTAATTTCTTTTTTCATCATTTCTGCTGAATCAATAAATGTTTTCTTTGACATGCGGAAAAATTTAGAGAATTGAAAGTTATCATGGCTACAAAGCCATGGTTCCATAATTAAAAAAAAATCTGAAAAAAAATTTCTCCCATGAATATTATGAAAGGTTTCTTATTTGAACTTTCCATATACAGTTGTAGACGAAAAAGCACCGATTATTAAGTGATAATAAAAATAATCAGAGATTATATACGCGCTTTTCTAAAATAAACAACTTGCAACAAAACCGCGGTTAAAACCAACGCGTTCAAGCGATTCGTGTAACTGACGTCATCAACCCGTGTGTCATCTTGAACCATATTATAACCGCGGTACATAACACAGAAACTTTGGTTATTCGCTTGGATTTGATTTATGACGCTCTTTTTTAGTTAACCTCTTTCATTTGTGTCTAGATGTTTGGAAGGTAGGTTGGCTCGAGTAAAGATAACATGGCCACGCAAGACAACTATTGAAATATACTCTACTAGACTATCCGTAGCTAAATTTTTCTCAAAATCGTTGCACAATACTTAAAAATATGCAAATGAAGATTGGAAAACTGCCACATTGACATTCTGAATAACTCCATCGCTACCCCGGGATATACATACGTTTTGAAAGTTGATCTTGTCACCTGGATTGCGGCATTGCCAGCTCATCGGACGATTTTGCTACCTCTGCTATCACGAATTCCTTGGACCCGAAGCGACTCGATGTTTACGTTGACCGGTAGCAGACGCGCGGAGTGGGAGCTGGAAAGGGGCGTGGCTGTACTACCCGGCCTTACCGTATCGCCGCAGCGAGGTACAGCACTCACAAGCTTCAGTCTCTCGGTATCTGTCGCTGCAGCGGAATGTCTAGGCGTTCACAGCTCCGTGCAGAGCTCTATCCGGTTTAGCTACTTTTTTTTCAGTAGTGGTGTTAACTATACGGTTCTCGATTGTCTCTCAGTGGTGCCTTGGTGTTGTGACGTGGGTGTCAAGTGTCTCCAAAGTGGAAATTAGGTCTAGCTCCAACTCTTCTGAGGGAAACAGGATATCTGCGCAGCTAACGAGGTGAGCATTGCATACTAATCTAGTTGTGTGTTAGGGTTGAGAGATTAGTCATATATAATGAGGTATATCTCAAACGCCAGATCAATATTAGTCAAAGAATCACTTCCAAAGCGACTCATTTTCACTACATAAGCTGACTAGCACTGTTTAAAAACAATATTCAGCTTAGTGGAGTTTTCTGCTGTCCTAGGAGGCCATAATTGCTTGTTATCAAAGGTATTGTAAATTTTGGTGACAACAGCTGTCAAGTTTTGCCGCGGGTAAACTGGAAAAAATGCTGACAGGTACTGTCATACAATTTTTCCATCTAGAAACCATTTGTAATTCAAAATTCCGCGTTTGTGATTGGTAGAAATTAATATGAGGGAAATAGTCGTCATGAAAACCGCAGGATAAGTTTCAGATGCTACATTAACACAAAAACTGGTGCCACGGCTTGACTTGTGTTTGAATGTTTATGGTGGCTATGTTGAAAAATTAAAAAAATGTTCATATTTGAGTTTATGATACAATTTACATTCATAAATAAAATTTATCTGACTGGATTACAAAACGGTTCTTCAATGCTATTTTTTTAGGTTAATAACTGTGGCATGCTGGCGATTTTCGATTGTAAAAATGAAGCCAGAATTGTAGAATGACTTGATTTTTCTTCAGCTGATACAATTAATCTTAACAGTGACGGTTGAGGTTTCCTAGGGTTTTCCTCGCCCAAGTGAGAATGCAGACACTAAAAAAACCATATTCCGCTACTAAATGGTAGAGAAAATGAAAATCGTACTTCTTCTTGATCCTGTAATTTTAGATCAAATACTTAATAAATATACTTATATAATAAAAACATTATTTTTTCTCCAGTTGTTGGAATCTTTTGACATGTTACAATAATCTTTTGGCATGTTACAAGACCATCACCAGAAATGAAAATCTTTGGGCCATAAACATTATTGATGTGTTCATACAATATGAAATTTAGATAAACATATATTCTCAAGTACAGATTCTTTTACTGCTCTAAAATGTTCAAATAGCTATAGAGAGATATATGGATGATTTTATAATGGCATGTGTTATTGACGCTGCTGCTTAAACAGATAAGTGATTACTTATATGACAAAACAGCAAAAATATGTTAATAACACATGTCGTTATAAAATCTTCCATATACCAGTAGTAAATGCTCAATATATAATATTGTACAAGAGTCTCAGATTTACGCAAAGAGCCGGCAATGTCGCATGCGGCGTTCGTGAACAATCTGACAGCCATGTGGCATCCAGAAGAAATGGCGATTGACACTGACAGAAGTCGACCGTGTTGCCCTATGGATAGCACGTGACTAAACCTTCTTCAGTGTATATGTTTTGTGCTCAGTGTTATATGGTGTGTTCTGTGGTCACAACTTAAAATTCAAGTTACGTTATGTTATGAAACTGAAAAATTTAATAATAAAAAATATTCCTCTTATGGTATTTCGTTGTTGTACCTGAAGTTTTGTAATGCTTTATCCACATTTTCTCCGTCGAACACTATTAAACCGTATGTAATACACTTATATTTTTTTACATAACTTCAATCTACCATAAACAAGGCCATTTCTACATTTCTAGGCAGTATCAAGAACCTTAGCAACATGTCTTCGAAACCAGTAATGCAGTCGATCCGAAAGAAATTAACAGAACACTTAGGAGTCAGTCATTTAGAAGTTATTAATGAATCATATATGCACAATGTTCCAAAAGGGGCAGAAACCCATTTCAAAGTTGTAGTGGTGTCCGATAAGTTTGATGGTGTTCCCCTGATCAAAGTGAGTTTTGCTAAATTTGAAAGCAATAGATGCCAAATAATTTGTGGTCATACTTTTGCATCAATATCCAAAAACCAACAGCTAACGGAAATATGATCTTGATAACACTAAAAGTAGCTGAAATAACTCGGAGCCCTTTAGTACCCAGTCGACCGAGTACCCTGTTTTTTAAGTAAACTAGTACTGGGTGCATCCCATACTTAATGACTGAATTAGTCTTATTTGTCCATCAACCCCCAATTTTGTTTAGCATAAAAAGGTACATGGGACAAACAGTGGGCTCTCATGCAAGCACCACCTTTTATTTTTGTGGGCATTGGTACTTGACACTTTTTTTAAGCAGATCTTAAATATTTTTTCTATTAAACTGAAAAAATCTATACTATTTTCAAATTTGTGCTTTCTGTTTCTGCGAATCCAACGTCCACAATTGTTTTTTCAAGAAAATGATAACTTTTTATGCTGATTAGGATGAGTTTTTTTAGAAATATATACGGAAGGCAACTTTAGTCCACTGACGACGTTTCTTTGTTTACAAGTTTGTATGATGTCACATCATGGCTGATAGTACAAGTATGTTCACTGTTTCGGCAGTTAAATTGGTTTGTTGCACTAGTTTTTCTGTCTCCTTAAAGTTTCAAATTACACGACTTCAGCGGTTTTGGCACTGACCGATTCAATTATATTTATATATATATACAGGGTGACTTTGAAGTTGAGTCATTAATTTTCAGATAATGATTGTAGAAGGAAGATAAACCAAAATATGTGTGTAAAAATAAAAAAAAAAATTTACCTTGTTTTATAAAGTATCCTTCCGACAAGTATTTCAGTGCGGACCTGTATTTGATCGTGAGGTCCCCTGTGAGGTCTTAAGTCACCTGATTCACGAGCCCGTTGTACTACATTAACAAAGGCACGAGGGGTTGGTTGCACTCGATTGGGAAACCGATCCGCAAAAACATGTGCCATTTTTTATTTCGTTTGAGCCACGCAACAGACACTATTCACACGCGTTACCGATTGACACTGACTGTATGTATAACTGAACTGAATAAAATAATTGTAAAAACATCGTTCCAAATTCTTTCGCTTTTTTGTTTCCGATGCGATGAACCGATAAGGCGGATTATATCCGTTGTTGCCAAACACGAGCACATGATATTATCATTGAGACAGGGCGGTACTCAAACTTCCAAAGGGCTATAACTTTGTTACTTTAATTTTACCAGAAAAATGGTAAAGGAAAAAAACATTTCTTTTGATCAGATCTACTCACTGTTAAAATAAATGACTCAACTTCGAAGTCACCCTGTATATACATACATAATATTATGTGCTCGTGTTTGGCAACAACGGATATAATCCGCCATCGGTTCATCGCATCGGAAACAAAAAAGCGAAAGAATTTGGAACGATGTTTTTACAATTATTTTATTCAGTTGTGTTGTATACAGTCAGTGTACAGTCGATAACGCGTCAGTGAATAGTAGTGTCTGTTGCGTGGCTCAAACGAAATAAAAAATGGCACATGTTTATGCGGATTGGTTTCCCAATCGAGTGCAACCAACCCCTCGTGCCTTTGTTAATGTAGTACAACGGGCTCGTGAATCAGGTGACTTAAGACGGTATGCCGGTGCTCCAAGACCTCGCGATCAAATACAGGTCCGCACTGAAATGCTTGTCGGGAGGATACTTTATAAAACAAGGTAATTTTTTTTTTATTTTTACACACATATTTTGGTTTATCTTCCTTCTACAATCATTATCTGAAAATTAATGACTCAACTTCAAAGTCACCCTGTATACAGGGTGTCCCCAAAGTTGGGGTTTTCCTTTACACAACGTGTAGATCTTGAAAACATAAGCAATTTTTCTTAGTACCATATACACCAATGTCTTAAGGGAATCGAGATAAAGGGCTCTGCAACATCAAAAATATCTGAATACCGTCCTGTAGCCGCGACATCCCCGACTGGTACTAGGACACTAGCTCAACCCGTCGACAGAACTGGGTCGGGGTCAATGTGTCAGGTCAGTATGCAACCTTCAACCGACGGTTACGACCACGCGTCTAGAGGTAATCGCGTAGACGAGAATCCCTCAACAAGCACTAGAGACGTGGATAGAGAAGTGCAAGTATCAAAAACTAAAGTGTGGCAAACGCTGCGTGAGGAGGGGCTGTATCCGTTTCACGTCCAACGTGTACAAACCCTTTAACCTGGCGATTTTCCAGCAAGAGTGCGGTTTTGTGTGTGGTTGTTGCATCGACATGACAATAATCCGGACTTTTTGAAGTGCATATTGGTGACAGACGAATCTACGTTCACGCGTAATGGGGTGAATAACTTTCGTAACACTCATGTTTGGTCAGTAGAAAATCCGCACGCTGTCCGTCGAGCACATTTTCAACAAACATTTTCGGTGAATGTTTGGGCTGGCATGGTGAACGGTATGCTCATTGGACCATTTATTCTCCAAAATCGATTGGACGGGATGCAATACCTAGACTATTTACGCAACATTTTACCTTCCTTGTTTGCCTGCGTCTGCTCGGTAGCGCATCAGCTGATTTCTGTTGGAGCGGTATGATTTCGGGCAGAGACGTACTTAGCCCTTCTCGGCAACTGGAGAGTGAGTACTTTTTCCTTTATTTTTTTTTACTTGGTCGCCCTCGTTTCACTACACATTGCCTTTGTTATTTCAAGGGTAGTTGTTTCGGAAAAGGAAAACCCCAACTTGGCGGATATACAGGGTTATCCAAATTAAGTGTCCACCATTAGTAACTTTGTTATTAGTGAAAATACAATGTTGTTTGAATTAGCAAACTAGTAGCATTTTTAACGCTGGTAAAAATGAGAAATAAAAAAAAACAATTGAGAGTCGTTATTTTGATTTTTTTCAGTAAAATAACATTTTTTTAAATGGAAACCCCTGTATATTATATTTTTTTCTGTTAAAGCATCAAATTTTAAACAAAAAAGCTTACAATAACTTTTCTCCTAGGTTACAAATTGTTGAAGTTATGGCCTCCAATCTGAAACAATTAAATTGTATCAACAAACTTTATTTTCAACATCAACTTATAATCTTACAAAATACAATAACAATTTTTTTTAAAGAAGATGCTCGAAAACACCACCTTGTTCTTCAATACATTTTTGGGCACGTTTTTCAACTGCTCGAACTGTCTTAAGTATGGTCCTACCATCTATCTGGGTTATCTTTTCCCTAACTGCAGTCTTTAACGCGTCAAGGTTATCGTACCTTCGCTTGTAAATTTGGTTCTTTAAGTAACCCCACAAGAAGTAATCAAGTGGGTTTAGATCTGGTGATCTGGGAGGCCACTGTATTGGGCCATTTGTTCCTATCCACTGATCATTAAAAGTAGTACTTAGAAAATGATAAGTACCTCTGGAGTTGTGGGCAGGTGCGCCATCTTGCTGAAAATGCAGATGATGTCTACTTATAAGATCCAATTCGTCTAAGAAATTAGTCAGAATTTCTGACATAAATTCCACATATCTTTCACCAGTTAGGGTTCCCTCATAAAAGAACGGGCCAACAATTTTTGAACCAATTATACCGCACCAAACGTTGAAACTGAAACGGACTTGTGGGCCTCTTGGATGTACTAACAAAAGATTTTCTCTTGACCAATAATGGTGGTTTTTTCTATTAAACATTCCAGAATTTGAAAAATTTGATTCATCTGTCCATAAAAGGTAACGAAAGTTATTTACATTTTGGCGACAGAAGCTAAGATACCAATGGCAAAAAACAAGTCTTCTCTCTGGATCCCCTGCCAAAAGCGTTTGAACTGGTCGGTACTTATACGGAATAAATTTGTATTTTTTTAAAATCCTTTGAACAGTACCATAACTGAAATTAGAGTCGTTGAGAATATCTGCTATTGAATTCTCACGATAAGCTTCAAAATATCCAATAACTGCAATTTCCGTGGCCTCGCTTATTATGAATTCTTTTTTTGCCCTTGTTTTAGCAAAAACATTTTCGTTGCCCCTAAATTTTCGATAAAGTCTCAGAAAATATCGTTCATACGGTTGAATGCGAGCGGGATATAATTCACTCTCAAGGAGGATTGTCTGCACACTAAATAGCATTCTAACATATCACACTTTTCTTCATGGGAGAACATTTTTCTTTAAATTAATGACACAATAAAGCTTATAAACAAGTATTTACACTAATGTTTGACATTATTTGATTTTATCATTGTTTTCCAAAGCCTTCTAGTTGCGAGTATGTCCAGTTTAACAATTTGTCGCTTATCTTAATGCTGTCAAATCGCGAACGCCATGTTGTTTTCATAGCCGTCTTAATATTATAATACTGCAAATAATTAAAAATATTTATCGTTATTTTGACTTTATTTTTGACTTTAGCGGAAAAGTCATTATGAACTTTTTTGTTTAAAATTTGATGCTTTAACAGAAAAAAATATAATATACAGGGGTTTCCATTTAAAAAAATGTTATTTTACTGAAAAAAATCAAAATAACGACTCTCAATTGTTTTTTTTATTTCTCATTTTTACCAGCGTTAAAAATGCTACTAGTTTGCTAATTTAAACAACTTTGTATGTTTACTAATAACAAAGTTACCAATGGTGGACACTTAATTTGGATAACCCTGTATATATATATATATGTGAAAAATTAAAGCTTCCGCCTTTTGTTGGGTACTTCGACAAAATTTAAGCAAAGAGGACTCTTTATACTTTTTTAATTCTCTCTAGCTTTCAATGGACTTTGCCATCATCATCAGGAGCTGCAATTACAATGATAACAGTAGCAACAAAAGTGTAAAAGTGTTAATTTTTCACCTAACTGGTCTAGACGACAATGACCACGTCTCAAGTTATATATATATATATATGTATATACTGTTATTAAAATTGTTGTGATTTAACGTACTTTCAGAGGCATCGAATGGTTAATGAAATCTTGAAAGATGAAATACAGAATGGAGTTCATGCTCTGTCCATTGAAGCCAAGACTACCTCTCAGTGGAATAATAGTGACAAAACCATAGATCCAAGTCCAAACTGTAGAGGAGGATTTGGAAAATAAAACAATATCTAATTTAATTGCATTGTATAATTTATAAAAAACAATCAATTAGGCTAATTAGACAAAAATAATGATGTACTGCCCTACCAAGAACAGTATTATTGATTTAATGAATATAATCAACTTTTTTTTTTTATTGAGGCGCAGCACAATTGAACTGATAGAATCACATACAATATTATAGCATTGCAATATCATAACCAGAATATGAAACAGTACATTTTGTATTTGAAATTGCAACCTTTCCATTTTTAACTTAATACCAATTTATTATAATCAGCTGTTGAGGATAACCTATGCAAAACCAAGCATGCTTCAGTGTCAGAGAACGAAACTGTCAAGTCTCAGTTTACCATCATTCTTTGTCAGATAGATTAAATCTGCAAGGGTCTGATCACAAATTGCCTCTTCTCCTCTATCAGACATCTAAAAATTAAAGTTTTGTTACAATGCTATTCAAACAAATATTAAAATCAATAGTCTTGCTCTGTATCCACTACAATTCAGCAGTTAAATTTTAAAAAGATATATTCTCATTCTTGGAGTGTACGATTTAGATACTAAAAGAGATATCCTAATGAAGCATGTTCTCAACACGTGCTGTTCACATCCCTTCAAAGCAGATTCTCCTGACGAACGTTCTAAAAATATACTATTTAAGAACATTCGGATCAGAATTGTTTATTGCATATTCACATAAGGGATATCTATTCGCTGGCATGCTGAGAATATTTATTTTTAGGACCTGCCGATACAAAATATTCTTGTCACGTGACAGTAACATTCTACCAGGTAATCAAAATGGATATTCCTGGCACGTATTAAGCACATTCCATAAGGTGATTTTTCGGCCTAGTGCGCATGTACGAGTGTCCGATCGACTAATGGAATAATAGCAAGTCGCATCGCTTATCGTCTTCCATTTTGTTTTATTCCATGTCTGTGCGTACCTAACATAGCTTGCATCGTGTGTGTCTCCAAGTGGCAAATTATTTGACAGTGTTTTTTGTTGAAAAGGTGTTTCGTGATAACTGTTCACCTAAATTCATCTGACTAATGAACATTATTGTGACAATTGAGCAAGCTGTTTACGTGATCATAAACTCCAAAAACATCGCCTAATAGGAAGTTTAATTTATAGTGAGAAGAAACTGGCATCTGCAGCTGCTCATGTTGCAAAGACGCAGGAAGTATATGAATAAAACAACAAAAACAAGAATAGACTTTTATAATACGATAGAAGGGCACCTTGAATACATACATATGACATTGTAATCGCGCAATTTTTTTAAAATGAAGTTTGTTTTTTGATGTTATATGACATGTAAATCACGTAAAACTATGTCACCCATTTCCGTAGGTATGTCTGTCTGTCCGCCCATAACTTGAGAAGTACCGTTCGGATTTCGATGACACTTTCACACAATGTTACTACTAAGGACGCAAAAGCTTTTTAGTTTTCGGAAATCGTTTTTTGACGTTTGAGAGGATCCCGATATTTGAAAAAAAAGGTAAAAAAACTTGGGGGTGGGGATTGTAAGAGGGTGGGTAGGAGTTATCTCAATTTTTGTATGCTGGTACATTTATAGGCTCCCAACATTGGAAATTCAACGCACCTATTAGAAATCAAAGATTTCTCTGTACAGTAGCCCTGAAAAATATTCTCGGGAGACGGATCGCGTACCTATCGGCTGAGGCTGCTGCTTCACCGACCATTATGAGTGTTCTGGTATAGAATAACACGTATTTCTGCGGCGAAACAGCATAATGTCGCTGGCACGTTAGGTATCGGGGAGAGGCGACGTTTCGAGATGCACTACCGGTAGGACAGGGAAAGAATATCTATAAACTAATTGTATGGACCTGTTTGACTGACTCTCAGAGGCGCTAGTTTGTGCTGAACATATTCCTGTATGTACTGATAAGGGTGTTGCGTGAGAAGTCCACCTACTCGACGCCATCTTTTTCTAGAATTTGACAAAATTGCGCGTCACTCAAAGACGGTTCGACTTTGTATATCGACGATCTCAAATCAATACCTCGTAAGTCCGAAAATGTCAATTTTCTGATTATGTTCTGTTTTGATTCCTGTATGCATAAATCGACATTTTCGGACTTACGAAGTATTGATTTGAGATCGCCGATATGTGACTCCATGTGTTCCAAATGGGATGTATTATCACCCCTTTAAAGGACGGTATCAACCTTCAGAACATCCTGTATAAACATGCATTATGTTTCGTATTGATCACTACTAGAAAACAGGGACTGTAAACATTCTTATAAAAAAACATGGCTTTCAAAACTTACAGGTTTATAATTCAAATCTGTCGATGGTGTGCACTTAAATGTAGGTCCAAAATTTACAGACACAGTAACATTTTTGTGCAGAGAGATTGTAGGATAATAGGCTCCTTGGTATATGCCCTCAAATGCTACTCCTTGACATTCACCATTTTTGAAAAACAATATCTTGCTGCCTGGTAATGGTTTAAGAGATTTCAATCGTTCTTGTACGTTGTCCTTATCTTCGTAGTACAGATGACTCTTGAACTTGACTAGAGGCTAGAGAGAATAATGCAGCACATTAGCCACTGATATGACCTATTTGTGATATACATAATTAAATGACCAATGAGGTTTCATTCACATTATGATTTTACACATACCAAGAAAATACAATCTAAGAATGTATAAAAGTCTATAAATTTTATGCTGACTTGTACTGACTATTTAGATAAAATAATATAATCAACAAGATATACTGACCCTGTCTTTATAAGTATTTTGCAGCAATTTTGTACTATTGTTTTGAGGCAACACAATCATAAAGCCTAATGTGTCGCCTTCACCATAACCTGAACTGTAATGTTTCCCATGTGATTCATGAAACTTAGTTCCCTTCTTTGATCTCCATGAGTAACCAAACTTATCATATCCCAATGGTGCCTGCAAGTTGGCATAGTCTTGACCCCAGCCCATTCTAGTTGCAGAACCCTCAGGCATCTCATCAACTGTGGCCTCAAAGTACCAAATTCCCTTACTGACAGCTAAAACATATTAAAGTTAATAAAAGTTTGGTGTTTCTATTTCGACCATTCATATCTATGCTAAAATTACATAAATCGTTAAAAATTCTTACAATGTGTCGCGCGGACTGTAGAATACCCCTTTTCTCCAGTTACTGCCAACCGGTCTTCAGAAATCTTAAGCTGGGGTGCTCTATCATGTAATGCTAAAAGGACAGTACCAGGAATGGAAGTACGGTATAGCCAACCAGGAATAGGCTTGCCAGCCCAATCTGAGCTTTCATCAAATTCCTGTTGAAAGCGGTAAATGTGAATTTTTAAGAATTTCCATAAATATATTCGCTCTCACGGTATCCGAAAAATAGTATACAGATGAATATAAATGCTGTATATACATTTTTCTGAAGAGCGCATCCGCAACAGTAAACAACTTGAGGCGGCGATGTTCACAGAAAATCATCACTGCCATAGTTCTCTTGTGATTTTTGTACTGACTGCATGATGGCTCAATCAATAACTTACTGTACAAAACGAAAAAAATTGGCATAAATGAACTTTGGCTATATTCGGGGACCCGTCCCAGTGAACATAGTGATGTCATAATGTAGGGATTTTTAGGCAATAACTGACATACGCCGACCAACAAAAATGACATAGAAATGACATCATTATGACGGTATAATGTCACACCCAATTGACATTATATGACGTCATAGTAAATATGTCGAATAAAAGACCACATACAAAGCTCATATGGCGTATGACGTCTATCTGAGGTCGATATGTCGCTCGCAAAAATAACCGCATCATGGTGTATACAAATACTCTTGAAGAATTGAGCATGTTACAACGACGCCCCACAAGCAGTGAGTTCAGGAGTTGTAGAAAGGCACCGAAACTCATATCCCACTTATCTACCACCCTTGAACCCTCTCGTTCCGAGACGTCGTTATCACCTCCGCAATTTTTCAGGAGCATTTGTACAAATTGTATCGAAGTGGTAAATAAAGAACTAAAAAACACCGTTTGAGATCGAACACGTCCTCCGATGGTTCAGAACTTGTTTGTAACAATTTATCAAAATCGCTTTACTTTTTCACAGGAGGCCAAAACACTTATTGTTTCCCGGAGTCATCCAAGCCTTATTGAGACGTGGCAATAGTATCGTCCCTACCAAATTGTACAACAACGTACCTTAAATACGACGAATCCATCGTGATGTCGGTCAGACCCATAGATTGTAAATACAAAATGGCCGACCCAATGCCAAACGGCAAACTCGCATGGAGCTTGCGCATCGGTCGAGCTCACCGCAAAGCACAATCGTGCTTCTTCGCTGATGATCGGTTGAATGATGATTCGTTTCAAAATTTGAATTTTTACCGCTCTTGTATAAAAATATTCTAGTAAACCTTGTTTATTATTATACACAGGAGTTTCTAATAACTTTGTTATTTACGGGAATAAAACATGATGAAAAATGGCAATTTGAAATATCTGAACATGAAACATTATTATTAGAAAAGTCACATTAATATGACATTTTTGGTCGAAGAATTTCTGTTACTTTTTTATAAATAACAATAAAGTAGTTGTTAGTAAATAGTATGTATTTGGATATCTAGTTTACCTTACTGTCCATTCAAAGTCTATATTTTCTTTGTAGGTAAGTACGGACTGTCCAAAAAAGACGTCAAAATGGCAGCCTTTCAAAGGACGTCTTGTTGTCGTCAATAAAGCCGTCATTTTTTAGTCAATGACGTTTAAAAAAGTCACCGAATAATGACGTCATCATGTTTACTGGGGTGTTTTATCGAACTTATATTATTGCGAGAAAAATTAGAAAACTTACTCAAATATACTTTGTAGTGTATGAAAAACGACTGAGGTGCGGATGACTACGAAATTACTAAATTTTATTTTTTTACTGGTCGATTTCAGGTTTGGTGAAAGCAGTCAGCATGTTGAGTTAGTAGACATCAGTTTAGTTAAACGTAAAATGTGGAATAAACACTGTAATGGCCCTATTATGTGGTAGATACAACTACTTCCAATTAGGTGATGTATATTTTTTATGTATATACTGAAAATCAGAGAAAACTTCGACCTGCTCAGCCCCACATAACCTCGAATGCACTAGCATTGGCCGCGCGCTTTGCCTCAATGGGGAGAAAATTATAGAATATAAAGAAAACTGCTACGCGTGGAAAAATATGTACTCGTAAGCATAATTACACATTTTCTTTCTGGACATTTACACAGTTAAACATTTAAACCTAGCACATTCATGCCAAAATTGCCGCACCTCTATACACATCCTGTTGGACCTCTATAAACTTTTTTCGGCAATGTCAATCACAGAACAAACAAATTTGCAATAAGTTAGAATATTAGATGTCTTGTGGTAGCATTTTTTAGTCAAAACAATATCATTTATAAGGAAAAAAAATTAGAAAAACTGCAAATTTCAAGATCATCTGTACCTCAATCATTTCTTAAAGCTCACAAATTATGTTTCAACAGTGTATAAAATTCAATAAAACCAGGGTCGGTTTATAATACAAAATAAAAACCTGTCTGAATGGAGCATGTGGATCAGGCTCTGCAAGCAAATATCTGTATCCATCCTTATTAAATGGATGATCTAAAGGATAGCCATGAGCTGGTAACTTTGGAGCACCCAAATCTACTCCTCTTCCCTTCTTTCCTTGAGCACCAACATCTCCAAAGAATTTCCTCTTGGCATTTCGAGATTTAACTCCGCCAGAAACTGGAACTGCCATTGAAATATCATGTCAGTTATCTCTGCAAGTGAGTCGAAAAAAAGTAAACCCTACCAGCTCTCATCATTATAACTTTTGTCCTGGCCATTTCCTAGATTATTGGATTTAAAAGTATGAGCTCGAAATGGAATTTGACGCTAACTTGTAAACTAAACTTTTCAAGATCACATTTTTGACATCAGCCTGCTATATTTGTTTCAATGCAATCTCTAGCATTGTTATATTGTATGAGTTTTGTGGCAGGCCTTGAAAACGGTTTCAGCTGACAAGTATAATGCTGTGCAAATTCGTAAATAATATGAAAAAATAATATTGATCACTCAAAAACATTATAGTGGCCATTTTTTTATGATTTGACCTGATCCCTTTCGATAAATGTTGATATAATCGCAAAGCAGATGATGTATTTGTCAAGTTGACAGAATTTTTCGCTCTGAGAATTAATTCGCGAAAATCCAGGAAAAATACATATAATAAGATGGAGCTGTTGGAGAACAATAAAACGCAGCAGGAAACGATAGCAGCGCAGACGAAGCTTATTGAAAATATGCCACTGCAAATAGATGAGTTGCAGAGGCAAATTAATAAATTAGTGAAGAAGAGTTCCACAGTTAACAAAGTGGACACAGCAAACATGCAAGAAGATAGCTTTGAAGTAACGAAAAAAACGCAGATAGAAGAAGAGCTGCAGCAATTTTCCACCCCCGCCACGTAAGCCCAGCCAGTTTTTTACTTCAGCTTCATCTTTACTTCAAACAAATTTTTTTACTACTCAAAGTCTAACCAGATATTGACTCTAGTCAGAATACAAATTCAAAATCAAGCCCTCCAGGTTTGAGCACTACACCTTCGAGACTACCTCCATCAAAATCTATCTCAATCATGTGTTTCTCTTCGTATTAAAATTGAAAAAAATGCTGGAATTAGAATTAGCAATAAGACAGAGGATGATTATAGAAAACTTGTATGCTTTCTCAAAGAAAAAGAAATAGCACACCATACTTTTCCTCTCCTGGAGAAAGAGACATTCTCCCAGTTCTTAGGGAAATACCAACAATTGCGGATGAATGTGAAGTGAAGGAAGAGCTAATATTTCGACGTGGTTGTACGATCGAACGATCGCAATGATCTGGCAAAGCTGATTAGGGCGTTAATTGCTCTTCCACAAACTGCCCTAAGGGCAGCCATTTGAATGTTGAATATTGAAATGCAAATCGTTTGTTTAATTGAAATCAACATAGAATACATTTTTTATTCAAAAATTGTGAATTGATCATAGTTTTTGATAAACAATAATGGAATGCTAGTAGCAAAAAGGTTATCACATGAAATAGCAATATTTTATAGGCTGTAGTTTTTGCCCTGTATATATTATGTTGAATAATACAATATAATCATGTTCCTCATCATCACTCCACTACTAATTTTCATATTGATATCACACAAAAAAGCTTGAGTTATAGAGTTTTAAAAACGAAACTACTTTTGTTTAATTTAAATGTAATATAAAAGCACCTAGCATCCCCTAGTATATCTTGGAAAACACTCAAGCAATAGCCACCAAATTCTATTCAGTAGGATAACAGCTCATTTTCCAATAAATAGCAATAACTGTGGTGTGGTGTTTTACAATTGAAAATTGAGAATATAAACACTCTTGAAAGGATGAGCCAATCATCCAAAGTAAATATCACTTGTCATCTTCCAAGGACTAAAAGTAGGTGATCCTAGACCCAGTCATACACAATGTTAGTGCCTCATAATGTAGAAATATCTATATCCTAAATAAATCTTAATCCTACACATAGTGAATCTTACCATGTTGAATACCCATATCTGTGACTTTTAAAGTCCCTCCTTTTATCATAGCTTCATAATTAGGCTTAATATGAGTGAGATCAGAATTGATCAGTCCATACATATGCCCATCATCAGGATGATCTTCAAAAACAAACAGAATGTGGATATCTTTGATGAGTGCTTTCGTAACTGTGACATGCCAAGATGTGGTGACTCTTCTTGGAGTAGTGGTCAGTGCCTCCCAGTGATATTCTAGATAAGGAATGATCTCCTTATCTTTGCTGAACATTGTTTTGTTTGTGCCTTCTTTCAGACTCGATTGTTGTAAGTTTGCTATAGCTGTGATACACATTTGAAATGTTTCTAAAAGTAAATAGCAAGTGTTAGTAATCGAGCTATTACTTCATATTTATTTATGCTTTTAGAATCGAAATATTATTTGCTGCTCTTATTATAAATCATTCAAATCTTGTGACTTACGAGCTTGACTTTTCTTAAAAGTCTCCAGTCCTGTAGGTGAGCAATTCTTACACAAAAATACATAGTTCGTCAAAAATGGTACAAGCTTCCCTAATTGGTACCCTATACAGGATTCATGGAACCATCTATTGCAGTTGGCACACAGGAGTTCTATTATGTTCAAGTTTCGGTCTTTGCCGCTAAAATTTTAATTATTGTTGCAGCAGTTATTTCATTAATCAAGATACCCACCAATAACAATTGCCAGCCTCAACGTTCTTTTTTTCTGATTTATCAGCATCAAGTTGCTTGGAAAGGTCCGATTCATTCATTTGTTTTTCCTGGGATGTCATACTTGAAGAATCTTCATTTTTGTCACTTAAATGATTTAAATCAATAAGCTATAATGACAATATTATTGCAAAACTTACCTAAACTCTATATCTTCTGACATTTCTAAAGAATATATAGGTTTTTTTTATAAACTTTGTTGTTTATATTTGGTTTTTACCGTTCAACAAACCTAACCTAAAAATCAGCTAAAGCCAGCGTTGCCAGATTGTTACGACTGAATTCCCCACAGGAGTGCGTTCATAGCAAGCAGAGTTAACCCTTTCAACTGACTTTAGACGTTCATCGAAGACTGTGATTTATTAAATTGTCCATGCGTTAATGACGGCTGTAGCTACATGTCCCAAGTTGAGATGTATGACCCGCCTCGAAGACAGCAATAAAAAAATACTCGACTTGCGCAAATTAGTTAACTTGGAGCTAACCTTCTCTTACTAGACGTTTCGTGTTTTATCATAACATTACTTGTATTTAAAATAAGTATTTATTTGGTTAAGCCATCAGAAACAACGTCATCATCAAAATTCAAGTGAAATATTGTTTCTTCAATTTATCATTGCATTAAGAAATAGCTCTTTTGCAAACGAAGAAATGGTAAATCCTAAAACTTGCTTTATTATTAAACGGTCCATCAACCAAAACATCCAATAAAAATTATGAAATACGCAAGTTATCATCGTAAACTTATTCTCATTACCTAACACCTTTCACATCCGTTCATTGCAATACCCAACCCAACATCTACTTCACTCAATTTCTACTCTAAACCACTTCTATACTGCGAGTCTAAGTCAAACACCATTAACTCAGCCTTGAACAACCCCAAAATGTTGGATTTTCAAAAAAATCCCCTAAATTACACTTCAATAATGGGTGGGAGGGAGTTAGGCTTTGCTTGGTTTCGTTTGAAGAGCGGGGGGGCTAAAAAAATATTTTCAGAAAAGATTATGCATTTAGAAAAATTAATATACACCTCTAAACTGTTTCAAACTTGTTAAAACAACTTAATTCGGTTCTATATCGAGGGAAATCCGAGACAACGTCTCTCGTCTAGCTCTTTCTTGAGAAACATTGTGGAAAGCAAGGATAGCTAAAAGACATTTTCTGCTCTATGACTATGGATGCGGACCTTCAAACCCACAATCGAGAAAAAGATGTAAATGCGGCTCAGAGTGAATGTTTTAGGAAGATAGGTGCGACCATGAGAAAAGATAAAATTGTTATTCAGCAATTGACAGTTTTGTGTTTTTAAAAAATAAATAACACATCCAAAGATTTCTTTTCCTCTCATAAAAACCCCCAGAACAATGTATCCCCAACAATTCCCCCATGAAAGTGCAAATCTCTCAAATTTAAGGGAAAATTTCCTAATATGGCAACCCTCGCTAGAGATAGCAGCACTTGGAACAAGTCATCCTAATGCCGGGTCCACACCAAACCAACAAAACTGCAACTCAATGTTTTTCAGCAGCTAAGCAACAAATCGGCAACATTTCGTCAACAATTCGTGTTTTGTTTCAGTTTCTGGCAACTTTTGGTGTTGTCGTCGCGAGTCGGTAAAGATCACAAGGTTTCTGTTTTGTTTTCATTTCAGGCAACAATGTCAGTGCGATGTGCATTTTATTGAGAAACAAATATGAAACAGAAGCTAGTATCAAAAACTTACCTTAATATATTCTTTGAGGCCTTCAGTTAGGGCATCATAAGTTTCCGGTATTATTATCGATATTGCTTGTTTTGATATTTTTGACTGATAGATACATCAAGCTATGGTAAGAGCCTCCGGTCACCAAAAATCCTGGTGTTACAACCAAACGTTCAACTACGTTAATGGCATTTCTGAAATTGGTGTTTTTTATAAATCTCAGGACCGATCAGCTGTATTAATTCTTCAAAGTGTTCACTTTACATTCTTAAAAAGTTTTAGAAACTATAACGCATTTCTCTTCGCAATCCAATATCATCTTTTCGCAAATCGGACAATAATTTTTCAATATCACGATCATCTATTTCTCGTAAGGATGGTTTCATCCAAAAGCGTTTTTTATTTCCCGGTCACAACTCTGGAGAAACACATATCCAGCAGACATTATGATAAAATCTTTGCGCTTGTGCCTTTTGAGCATAAAAATGCCACCCACATATTTTCACTTTGGACATTTTTGGTGTGAACTGCACGAAACAAAATAACTGAAAACTTTCTTGTGTCTTGGCAATGTGGACTTAGGTTTTCATTTTGTTTTGTTTCTGTTTTGTTCTTTGTTTTTGTTTTGTTGCTTTGATGTGGACTCGGCATAAGATCGGTCGCACACGACATTGTTTTGTTCTTTTTCGTCAGGATTTGGTGGTCCGGATTGCCTTATGTACCAAGTTTATACGGATAAATGTCCGGGTTTCTCTAAACCATAAATAAAAACAGATGTTGCACAAAGAGATTTGGTATGGTAATTCTATTAACAGCAAACATTAGCGGATTTAACGAGTATTACCTTTACAAATTCAACCGATAGGTTCTATACAATCTCGCAGTGGTCAATTCTGGTAAAAAGATGGAGCTCTGCGGTGTCTCAATTCCACCCAATAAACAAATATACTTGCTATGCATGTTCCAAGTATATCCTCTGCTAATCGCAATGTCACGTTCTGAACCCGTGCCAAAATTACATACCGCACATCAATTGATAACAAAACAAATTAACCATGTAGGTATTCATAATAAATGTGTGTATCGGGGCAACGGCAACCTCTATTGGCTACCAGAGCTTTTAAGAGATAAGATAGTCGCAAAGAAACCTCGATAGTTCAGTATTCAGTATGTGTGCAAGGTGAGAATTGGGATCTCAAAAATTGTTAGAGCTACAATGGTGGTTAAATTAAGGAAAATGTGTGCAGTATACCTCTCACATGCAGGTTACAAAATTTCACTGCCATATTCCGATCTTGATTTTTTTCAAATAACTCAAAATCGGATAAAACGTAGCCAAATTATGTCATCGGCATGGAGAAAGTATTGCCTTTTTTCTCATTTAACCAACATTGTAGCTAAAACTATTCCTGAGATCGCGTTCCTTTTCTGGTTAAAAAGTTCTATGACAAATTAAATTCAAGGGGTTTCCCACAATCTATGTATGTACTTATACATTATTTTATAGGATGAATAGTTTCGACGTATGGATGCCTCCAATATTGGAAATACAAATTTTAGTACGTTGTATCTACTTTAATTTGCCGCACCTAATGCTATATTTGTCGTAGAAAGAGTCTGAACAGAGGTGTTATTAAAACTTGTTTTTGGACACCATTTGCCACTATATCAACAACAAAAAAAGATACGAGGCAGAAAAACTTACCGAATTATAACTGTCCGAATATCATTTTTCAAAACTTTCCAAAACGCTCCCGGCAACCCGACCTTAGTGTGTCGAATGACTATTATTTGTATACCCTAAGTTGTATGTATTGTACTCGTATAACTGTATAACCCTCTGAATTTTCATCCGTTACACTCGGGAACCGAAAAGGACCAGAGGAACGAAACACATCGCACGCTAATGCTAACGCGGCATCTTTTCGAATTGACAAATCGGCGAGCGCGTATTCACCGCGTTAGCATGTGCGTGCGCTGTGTTCCGCTGCTCTATTCCTTTCTTGTTCCCGATTATATGATGGATCATCTCGTAAAACAAGGGATTATGGACTAAAAATAATTACTGAAACATAAGGTTAAATATGTTTTTATTGTTTTGACTTATATCTTAAGAAGCCCTCCAATTCCTTGCAAGACGCTATCTCTGGACCTGCCGATTAGCCCTCTGCTGCCATTGTTTTGATAGGGCTGGCCATCAGCATCCACTCTCGCAAAGTATTGACCAGCTACTCTATTACTGGTATGTTCTCCCACCACAATCCTCTGGTTATTATTGCAAAGTGATGAAATTGCTCTCAATGGATTGCTGCATTGTATGCCGATGTAGTCTTTGGAAGTGATTGTGTTGTTATAAATCACGACGGACTTTCCGTGACTACAGCTAACTGAAAAGTGCGTAATGGTTGTAGAAGTGTCTAATGTAATTTATAACAAAAAAAAATTGCTGCGAAGCATTATTTTCACACACAAAAAATTAAAAATACTCGAATCAGGACATATTTCAATATATCCACAAAGCATTATGAACGATGGTACAGAGCACAAAACATTTACGCCCAAATTTGTCAAAATTACATCACATAACCATAAAATATAATCGCTACTGAGGATACCATTGATAGTACTTCAGGTAGGGGTGTTGCCACACATTGACATTTTCTACCATCCTACCACAAGCGTTTTCAGCAAATGTTTGCATGTATTCAAAAGTATATACTCGTATATATATATATAGGTATATATATATACAGGGTGACTTCGAAGTTGAGTCATTTATTTTAACAGTGAGTAGATCTGATCAAAAGAAATGTTTTTTTCCTTTACCATTTTTCTGGTAAAATTAAAGTAACAAAGTTATAGCCCTTTGGAAGTTTGAGTACCGCCCTGTCTCAATAATAATGTCATGTGCTTGTGTTTGGCAACAACGGATATAATCCACCTTATCGGTTCATCGCATCGGAAACAAAAAAGCGAAAGAATTTGGAACGAGTTTTTTACAATTATTTCATTCAGTTCAGTTATACATACAATCAGTGTCAGTCGCGTGTGAATAGTGTCTGTTGCGTGGCTCAAACGAAATCAAAAATGGCACATGTTTATGCGGATCGGTTTCCCAATCGAGTGCAACCAACCCCTCGTGCCTTTGTTAATGTAGTACAACGGGCTCGTGAATCAGGTGACTTAAGACTTCACAGGGGACCTCACGATCAAATACAGGTCCGCACTGAAATACTTGTCGGGAGGATACTTTATAAAACAAGGTAAAAATTTTTTTTTATTTTTTTTTTATTTTTACACACATATTTTGGTTTATCTTCCTTCTACAATCATTATCTGAAAATTAATGACTCAACTTCAAAGTCACCCTGTATATATATATATATATGAGAAGTAGTCATTGCCAAAGCTAACGACCAGTTGGGCCCAAAATACAATTAATTGTTAATTGGGAAATTGGCAAATTTTTAGGCTTAAGTTGACTCTTTTGACGATAAAACCATGCTTTCGGCATTCTCTATGGAGCCTTCATCAGGATTTCTTCGTTCAGCTTGCCGAGCTACCGAGATGTTAAGTGTTTTGTCCACTTCGACAACCCCTCAATCCGTAATTTTGAAATTTGGAGTACTGAATTTTGTAGCATTTATTTGTTTCCAAGGATGCGATATTTTAGGAGACTAAGCCGTTCCATAAAAGACGTGCTAATACCCGAAAAAATAGCCGTAAAAACCCTTATGTGTCTAGTATAAAAAAAGCTTATAAAAAAATTAATCCAAACTTGCACAAATATACAGAGTGATGCATTTGAAATTTTTGAGGAAAACTACAATTTGCGTTTTTGACCACCCTGTATGAGCAAAAATTAAAATAAAAAGGTAACAAATAAGATAAAAGCTGAGGTGTATAAGTCTTTTTTTTATACAAAATTCAGCACTCCAAATTTCAAAATGGCGGACTGAGGGATTGCCGAAGTGGGGGGGGGTTTCTAGACAAAACAGTAGCTAATTATCAAAACCCCATAGTATGTTATATCAATTTTCTTCTTTTGAATTGGTTTATCCAAACATAAAAATAAAATTTGAGGTATTTGTTTATGAGTAATATTCCGTCCACACATGAATGAGCCACCCTATATATATATATATATATATATATATCATAGTTCAGTGGCGTAGTGGTAGACGCTATGGGTCTCCCAATCAGTCGCCGTGCGTTGCGCGGGTTCGAATTCCGTCCCAAGAGAATTCTTCTTTTGCTATGGATGCTGTGATTCTCCATAGGTGGTAGACGGTCTCTGACTGAAAGCGAAGGTACCACCCGGCGGATCTCTAAGCCGGTCCAAAATATGTGCATATTGCATGTACACGTGTTCCCCCCGCTAGAGTCCCTGTAGCGTCCCCCCTTTCCCTTGTATTGCCTTATAGCCCCACGGTACGCATGAGTGCTTAGGTCTTAGGCCTTCGTGGTGGCTTAAGTATAAAAAACATGCTTAATAGAAAAAAATAGTTACAGTTACAAATTTCTCACACTACCTCAGCGCACGTCCGAAACAAAGTAATTTCGGCAACAGCGCTGCTTCAAAACATCGTCACTGTCAATCCTGTCATCCTTGTTTATTTGTTATTTCATTTGTTCCAAGATTTGAGTGTTTACATTGGTCTACGGTGAGGTCCAAATTTGGCGGACGTCGTAATGTGTACGAGAGAGAAGCCCGAGAAGCGTCCAATATGTTGCTAGGCAGCGAGGTGCTTCTGTCTTTTTCTAATGCACGAATTGCACGCCTCTCGCGCTTCTCCCTCGTACACATTACGACGTCAGTGGTATTCGGTTTTCAGTGTATATGGTGCAATGAAAGGAAAATAAACCAGTTTTATTTTTTGTATGAAAAGTAGTGCTTCGACCACAAAAATGTTTATTTTAAATTACAAAACAGACACTTCCACATTTGTGAAACATACAGATTATTGGGTGGAGGCATCAACTTTACCGGCACAGAAAGCAGATTTAAAGTCAAGTTTTTGAAATTGTAGTTCAAGTAGACATAGTCATAACATACACATGCGCAGTGGAATTTTTGACATTTGACTATCACCCTCGTTTAACGTTTTCCTTTTTGATGTCTTTTGTTTTGTATGTTTTTCGAAGTTTTGTTAGGACATGTCTTCTTTTTGATTGGTCGGATTTACGACTATATCGCAAATGCTTCTTTTAAATTGGTGGAAAATATGAGTATCCAGTGTGACCACTCCTTGAACCAATACTCACACGCATCAAAAATATTTAGTTCCATACACCCAGGCTGTACAGGCCCTCCGAAATTTATGAAAAAGTCAGCATCTGCGAATGGTGCCAGGAATCCAAAAAACCCAACATTGGTGTGGATACTATCCACGTACGTTGCGTCATTTTTATTCACTCTTCTTGTGGATGGCAACTTCAAGGGCAATTCAAATAGTGGACCTGCTGCATCCAAGGCTGTCGGGAAACAAAATAAGAATTTGAAACCGTACACTGCTCTGAGAAAAAAGAAATCAATTAAACCAATTAACATTTTCATTAAGACAATTGAAAAATTTGGCAGCTAATTAGTTAAACTAACTCTGGTTGGTAAAACCGTTTACTTGAATCTATGAAACTAGACTAAATGACTCTAAACGCAATCGTTTAATTAAATTTATTAAACCGTTTACTTAGATTGACTACACCAACTTATTTAAAATTAATGAACCATTACATTTAATAAATTTGATTAGCTGGTGTAGGTAAAAGTATTTGCCTAGATTATCTTATTTAGATTTGAAGGTATATTTGGGTAATATTTGGAATATAAAAGACCAAATTGCATTTTAATGAATTGTGTATAACTGTGTTCTGATAAAGGAAAGTATCAAAAAATTCGAAATCCTGGTAGTGATAATTGATATTTTCAAATCAGAATGAAAACTTCCGAATTTTGTATCCCTAACAGCTATGATATTTTTTATTTTCATTGATTGTGAACTAATTATGTATGAGATCAAGTTTAACCAATTATTAGTTTGATTGTCTAGGTTATAATATAACACCATTCCCTAGAAGCAATCCGTTGTTTTAAATTCAGAAAGTAGGGAGAGGAATACCTCAAATCGAATAGGGCTACAAAACTTAGGCCAAGGAAAATTTTAGGATAGGAACAAGATATCGAGATGCGGTTTTCGCTAGCTGGTTCAGACATCAGTTAGCTAACTTTTCGTAAAAAAGAAATCATATCAATGCATTTAATTTTTTTGAGAAAATTAACCAGTTCTGTCGGAATGTTGAAAAAAGTCCTCTAGCAGCTTCATCTGAAAGTAACAAAACTTCAAATATCATAACATTTGTAGCTCAAGAACAGCTCTTTGCAACTAGCCCAAGTTTGTTAAAATTGGCTCTGCCGTTTCGAAGATACAGAGAGTTCGAAGCGCGTCTCCGGTCCGGCGCCTCACGCATACTCCCGATTATTCACGAATGAAGAGTCAAGTCCTGCCGAGACTGCGATTCGAATGAACAGTTTAATTGCTTTTATTCAAATGTTTAAGTGTTTGAAATATACGTTTTTGTACATAAACTAATAAACTACCTAAACTAAGGCTTTTTTACTTCTACTAACCTCAGGCAGTTCAAAAATCGGATTAACAAGGATTCTTTAAGCTCCTAGCCTACGCGGCTGCGGTATGAGCAAAATAATGAAACAGTTTAATAAAACAGGTAAATGGACTGCTATTTTCAGAAAAACTAGTTTAATTACTTTACTATCAATTAAACTGGTTCCAGAAATTTCAGTTTAATTAAACCGACTAAATTACTTAGGATAATAAAAAAAGCATTACGAAGAGTAAACATATTCCAGAAAAACTGTTCAATTGACAACGATTCCTCAGTGTTTATAAAGATATCGTTGAGATAAATGGCTGAGTGATGATCCAGTATAAGGTGGTTTGAAATGAATACTTCAAGAAGGAATCTTAGACAGACTCGTGCACTGTCGTTGTTTATATTTTTACTTCCCTTGCCACACTCGCTAGGAAGTATTGTAATCGCGAAAAATTTCGAAAATTAGTTATTGTATTTTTTGGGCGTGATATTATAAATCTATATATAAACAGGGTGTTTCAGTTTATTGTTACATAATTTAAAATTAATGCATAAAGTCTATATAAACATGGGTCGAGAAATGCGTGGCTTCCGAAATACAGGGTGTTTAAATTTACTTTCTAAAATAGCTTTTGTTAAATATTTCGAACAATATTTGATGCATAACAGTGAAAAGTGGTATACAAGGGTTTTTTGGTACGACAAAACGAACCATGGGCATAGTTTTACTGTAGCCGCTAGAGGGCGCTCTCTACTGTACCTGTAGTGTATTAAAATGACCGAAATATTTTTCTTAGTGCAATTTTTTGCTTTTTGAATAAAAAAACTGATTCTTCGCACTTTTCAACATAAAAAAGTTCTCCTGTGAGTTTTCGTTATAGCTAGCCGTTTTTGAGATATTTCGATTTTTAAGGTTCGATGCATTTTTAATTATGAGAAAATAATATTTTTTTTACATTTTCGATTTGGGCATTACAAGTAACTAAGATGATCGTTTAGATTGTGTTTTTAAATCCAGCAATAATTCCTAACTCCAAATAAACACAAAAAAACAATATTAATTTGTTTAATTTTCCAATATTATTTTTAACAAGTTAAATTAATTATTTACAACTAAAATGCTATTGGATAGTTAGGACAAACATACAAAATCTAAAGTAGTTGCTCGAAATGTAAACCCAATTGTTCAATACACAATTCACATCTACGAATGATCGAACGTGGTATAGCATTATTCAAATAAGGCCTTATTTCATCACATGCATTCCGGATTCTGTCTATTAGCATATCTATTGTGGTTACGGGAGTCTGGTACACTTTTTCTTTTAGAAATCCCCACACAAAGAAATCTAATGGATTTAGGTCAGGGGATCGTGGAGGCCAGGCGACTGGTTCTCCACGGCCGATCCATCTTTCTGGATAATTTTCGTTCAGCCAGTTTCTAACTGTTCTCGAATAATGAGCTGGACAACCATCAAGCTGGAACCAGGCCAATCTTCTTAAATCTAACATAATCCCACATATTTGCATGTTCAGCCTTTAAAAATTCCAAGAAGGTCGCAGCATTTAACCTTGCAGGCAAAAGGTAGGGTCCAAATAGTCGATTATGGTAGATACCAACCCACACGTTCACACTAAATTCATGCTGAAAATTTCTTTCCCGAACTTCATGCGGATTTTCATGCGACCAAATATGTTGATTTTGAAAATTTACCACTCCACGTCTAGTGAAGCATGACTCATCGGTCCATAAAACGTTACTTAAAAACTCCCTATTATTATCAGTTCTATCAAGAATCCACTGAGAAAATGTGATTCTTCGTTCTCCGTCCCCTGGCTGTAATCCTTGCACAAGTTGCAAATGGTAAGGACGTCTATGGTCATCTCTAAGAACACGGTGAACATGGCTTGCTGAAATTCCCATGGCACCAGAATCTCTCCTAACACTTGTGGTCGGATCTCTATCAAACTCACGCAGAATCATACGGGTAAATCTGCGCTGACGAACATTTATGTTTTGATCCCTTTGGAGATTTCCAAAACCATTTTCAATTATTTGGCGATGCACTCTTACAAATACTGGGCGAGTTGGATGTCGTCTGTTTGGAAATCTTCGTGCGTATTCTCTGGCTGCTTCTGCTGCGTTTCCATTCACGAAGCCATACACAAAATGAATGTCCGCTAACTCTTGATTGGAGAATAAAAATGGCATTTTTATAAAACTTACAAAAACAAAACAGGTAAAAGAAACTAAATTTCGTGCATTCACAATTGCAAAAGACGTTTCAGGTTTCAACAGACAACAAAACTAGCTGTCAACTAATTGACGTTTAACCTCATTCTGCTTTCAATTTCAAAAATATTTGCAGGCACAGCCTACTTCTAAAAATTATCGAGATACTGACTTTTTAACGTTATTTTATCATAAATAATTAAAAATGCATCGTACCTTAAAAATCGAAATATCTCAAAAACGGCTAACTATAACGAAAATTCACAAGAAAGCTTTTTTATGTTGAAAAGTGCGAGGAACCAGTTTTTTTATTCAAAAAGCAAAAAATTGCACTAAGAAAAATTTTTCGGTCATTTTAATACACTATAGGTACAGTAGAGAGCGCCCTCTAGCGGCTACAGTAAAACTATGTCCATGGTTCGTTTTGTCGTACCAAAAAACCCTTGTATACTAATTTGCTCTATTATACATCTAATATTGTTCGAAATATTTAAAAAAAACTATTTTAGAAAATAAATTTAAACACCCTGTATTTCGGAAGCAACGCATTTTTCGACCCATGTTCTATCGAATCTTAACGTTATGCAACAATAAACTGAAACACCCTGTATATGAGAGTACTCCTTGGAGTGTAATTCTATGAGGCTATTTGATTTCATGGCGTAATATTATATTATAGTATAGCATGAGCAAAGAGTAGTTATATCAAGGGAAGACACTGTCGGTCGGCCCCATTGACCTTGGAAGTCTTCATTATAGTAGGAAAGCCGATCGTGAAATTTTTATTACATCATCGCGTACTGATATGATACGATAAAAACTATTCAAAAACTCGGCAAGTTTGCTGTTTAGCATCAAAACAAGTAAGATTAGACTAGTTTTCAACATTTCATATCAGTACGCAATGTGACTGAAGTACTACTAAAACTCGTGTAGTGTTCTGCCTATGGTCCTAAAAGCTAAATAGCTATGTGATAACTGACATCAAGCTTTGACAATAGCTTCTATCACAAAACGTGTGATTTATAACTTTATTGAATGAAAAATATATTCTATAGGCTGCAAATGGATGATAACTACCCACACAATTAATAAATGTCCAAACAGAAGTAAATTTGAATAAAAAATGCGTCAACTACAAGTGATTGTCAATGAATTAATCCAAAAAGGATTATATATCTGGCAACACCGCATTTATCTCCGACTAAATGAGAACAGCCGTGCTTAGACCCCATCAGCTGTTTTGTGGACGCCATATTTTTGGAGTCATCTCCTATTTCTCTCTAATTTTTTGATATACACTTATGATCATGTATCGACAGCTATTATAGTCAGTTATCAAACATTGCTGACAAATAGTTTGACTCCATAGGTCCAAAGAAATGAGACTCCCGTTTACGGACACGCTAATTTCTGCAACCAGAGGAACTTTTTTCGTACATAGACCACATAGTGCATTACTGCCTCTGACTAAACCTACCTCTTTTTGATGACTACACGGAAAAGTAACTAGACGCTATATTTCAAAAAAGTTTATAAGCATAAAGACGTATGGAACTGAACTGTGTTTGTCATATTCACGTACCCGTGATCCTTCCCAGTTTTAATCCATTGGTCAACTGTTGGACATGCTTTCCGACAAATCCTGCAACCTGAGCACCCAACGAGTGTCCAATAATGTGAACATGGTCCAGTTTGCTTGAATCATTTCCTAGAGCATTTAAAATGAACTGTGCTACAGTTTCACCCACTTTCTTCGTGGCTCTGGCTGAATGTAGGTAGTTCCTTTTAGAGTGGGGTGACCAATCAACACCTATCACGTTGTTAATGCCAATCGAATGGTATGACTCTGCGAAATGCTTGATGAAGTCGTCGCTACCTAAATATGTAGTGATCACATTAGGTATTGTAATAATTCAAAAAATAATAATTACAATAATGGTGCTTATAGGAGTTCGGTCTAAAATCTATTAGCTATTACTATTGTACTTCGCAAGCCTACTAGCTACTAGCCCTACTTGAAGATTATGGAGTTATATCAACATGAAAACTACATAATAAGTTTCAGTCGTTGCATAAATGTTTTCATTATGAAAGCATTTTCGTCGCTAGCAACGTTTCTGTAGACCGCGTATCGGGTATACAAGTACCACGCATTTTTTAAATATATGAGAGACGGTGATTTTCCCAAAGGCTATTAACATCGCATCTTTTGTAGCCCTAGATAAGAATAACCTTCAAAAATATCGTCTATACATTTGTTTTATATCGTATTTTGGATATTTTATGACATGAACATCATGAAAAACCATGCGCCTCTTTTCCGACGGTCTGTCTGTCGAGTTGTCTGTCGTTCTGTCCGCAAATCATTTTGTCCCGACTGTAACTTGCAAAGTACTGCTCGGATTTGGAAGAATTTTTTACACAATCTTACTTGTCATCAAGGACGAAAAAGCGTTTCAGTTTTTGAATATAGGGCCAGTGATGGTGGAGATGAAGGTCAACAAGGAATAAAATAAAAATTGTTCAAATTTAGTTTTTGAGGATCCTGATTAATCATTTTTGACAAAAAAAGAAGTGAATAATTAGCGGGTGGGGGAGAGTATACCTCAATTCCGGTAATTCTATGCACCTATTAGACATATTTCACACATCATAGATTTCCCGATACATTTGCACTTAAAACAGAAATCTTCAGCACACATATCGCGTACCTATCTGTCGCACTTGCTGTGTACCACGATTGTAAATATTGCATCTTTGGCAGTGGATGCTAGAAGCATCTAAATGTAGCTATAACATACGAGGTGGGTACGATATTATCTATATTATGTTTGGAGGTTGCTTGATTTCGTGAGGTAATATTATATAGCATAGTATGGGTGGATTTGATAAAAAGACAAGCCGTTATTTTCCACCAATCACATCAAATATGTGTCATATTTTATAAACCAATGACATTTGAGGCATTAGAAATAATAGCTGTCCATTGCACTACATGGAATTATGAGTACTAGTTGTTTCAAAAGCATGGGAAGTGTCATTCTTCTTAAAGCTATTTTTTCAACTAATAGACGCTGGTTTAAACGAGATGCCTGTTATACGTAATATTTTATTTTGCATATTTAATTTTCTCAGAGACCACTATATTCTAATTTCTATAGAACAGTGCTTGTCATATCTACTAAATATCCGAACAACTCGAATAATCTTTTTAAAAAAAGGGTTTTAACAAAAGTTTCAGCGCGTCAAAATAGTAATTTGTCGATGCTGATATGACTTAGAAGTCAAGTTCGAATATTCAAATAGCAACTATTATTTTTGATAGCACATCCTGGTAGAGCGGGAAATTCTGCATCAGATTTCATACTTAAACCTAGCGCTGTCAAAAATGGTGGTTGCTATTTCTTCATGGTGGCCAATATAAAACTGCCAATTTTGATACCCGCATTTCAGTAGGTGACGCCGCAGTAGTTGTTTGAGGCACATTTGTCCAATTCATCATGGAGCGCTACACGATCCCACAACGCGTCCGTATTGTTAAAACGTTTTACTTAAATAATGACTCTATTGTTGAAACGATTCGGAAGCTACAACAAGATTTCGGTCGAAATAATGTGCCCAGTGTCAACACCATTCGTCGGTTCGTGCGGAAATTTGAAAAAACAGGTGGAGTTAAAGACTTGCCAGGGTGTTAGAACTGTTTGTACCCCGGAAATCATCGAGAGAGTTCGTGAAAGTGTAGTGGAGCGCCCTGAGATGTCTACCAGATATCGTTCTCAAGAACTGGGTATCCGTCGCACGTCATTATGCACTATTTTAAAAAAAGACTTGCATTTGCGGCCATACAAAATTTAGTTAACCCAAGAACTAGAACCTAGTAACCATGAAAGTCGCCGACAATAGTCATGCAATATTGCAGCTTAATGCACAAAATAACGATTTTTACCGACAACTGATAATGAGCGATGAAGCCCACTTGGATATGAACGGATTTGTTGATAAGCAGAATTGTCGTATCTGGTCATTAGAGAACCCTCGTGTCATCCATCAACGACCACTAAATCCTCGTCGAGTCACAGTTTGGTGCGGTGTTTAGTATGTAGGTGTCATTGGACCTTACTTCTTTGAAGACGCTGCAGATAATTTCTTACTGTTAGTGGCGAGCGCTATGGTGGTATGTTGCAAAACTTTCTGGCTCCTCAAATCCAACTGTTTAACCTGCAAAACATGTGGTTCCAGCAAGACGGAGTAACTTGCTACACAGCTAGGGAAGCAATGAATCTTTTGCGAACAACATTTCCGGGACGTTTAATTTCTTTATTTGGTGATGTCATTTGGCCGCTAAAGTTACCGGATTTAACAGCTCCTGAATTCTTTTATGGGAATTTTTTAAAAATAGGGCTTATGCCAACAAACCAAATACTGTAGAGCAGCTGAAGAACAATATTACGGAAGCGATTGAAAATATTCCTCCCGAAACCTAACAAAAAGTGATAGGAAATGTAATCAAGAGGGTTCAGGCACGCGCGGATTCGAGAGGCGGACATTTTTGTCTGATATTATTTTTCATACATAATTTCTAAGTTGCAATAAAAGATTAAGATGAAAAAAAGTGACGTAACATATCGGCCACTCTGTATTTACAAACTTGACCTCAAATGATATCTAGAGTCTAGATCATATTTCGGGTTGAAGTTAAATTGCTTTTTTGATATCCTAAGTTTCGTCTGATTGATATTTCAGAAAACTGCTTGGTTAGCAAGTTTTCTGAGGGTACAGTCTACAAAAAACCAAAGTTCCCCAACTTTGATTAACAGACAAGTTTAAAAATCGTTATAAAATGAAGTAATCTCAAAGTACCCTTCGGGATAGTGTAAATCAAGGTATAAACTTTAAGTTAGATATTTGCCGACCTTAAAAACTATAATTTTTAACCGAGTTTTTAAGCATTGAATATACATGTTTTTTGAGCTTTTCGGACTTAAATCGCTTATAACTCGAAAATGGTCAACTTTAGAGAAAAGTTAACAGAAGCCTTTTTTGTTTCTGAGTGATCCAAGAAAAACCTGAAAAAATTTGTTCGGCCAAAAAATGCAATCTATTTAAAAAATTGTTTGAGGAAATTTGATCTGGGTTGCCGTGCGGGTATTCTCATCGCTTCTAAATTAAATTTTTAAGCATTGGTCTTAAATACACTGAGGAGTATATTGAGCATATTTTATTTTAAAGCGATTTAAACCTTGTTTATCAGGCCAAAATTGTCGAACTTGTGCTTTTCGCAGACTGTACTTGATAGACGTTACAGTAACATTGTAGCATGATCGCTTTAACCATTTGAGTGAAATAAGAAACATCTCATATGCTTCACCTGTTGACTGCCACCCATGGATGGCCACCTTCAATGGACGATCATTGCTGACGTCAAACCTTGTCTCGTTTATCTTATATTTAGTCGTAGTACCATCTGGAAGATAATGGAGGAAATTCACCTCTCTATAGAGGACTTCATCGAATCCAAAATTTGCAACGACATCCAACAGTTCTTCAGCTGTCACATTGAGCAGATGTTGCAAGAAATACTGCGGTGTAGGGAGTTTGGATAGATCTGGTAACTCTGGTATGTTCCGTAGTTCAGGTATCTCCGGTAGCTCAGGCGGCCCTGGAAGGCTTGGTAGGGGTAGATTTGGGTCTGACAGGGAATTTGAAGGAAATGGAAGTCTTGATCTTGTCATGTTGGCTAGTTGCGAGAAGGACAATTGCCCTAGAATTGAAATTCCATATAACTATAATAAACGTCAAAATCAGCTCTCCGTTGATTTGAGAACGCTTAATGTTTTTACTTTCCTAACTATGAATGTGCCACTTTATGTCTTTCTAGATTTTAGGCATGCTATTGATCTCACATTCTCGAAAGGTTTGCAGTTGGGATTAACGGAAAAATCATTTCTACGTATTTTACTAGAACGCTGTTATTATGTGAACATATTGGACTAACTTTGTGATCAAAATATCTGCTCATATTACTTGAACTATGTCTTATAAAGGTCTATCATTAGAATGCTTCTTCCAGGTTGTCTAAAAAAATGTCCACATGTTTTCACACCTGAGCTATGCAGTCGAATTTCTTCTTTTCCCCTTCCCCTTCTCAACAAAAAGTGATAATTGATCCATTGAGTACTAAGAATTCCGGACGCAAACTCACTCCACTCTCGGAATGGTGGACTCAAGGGAACAACATACATAATAAAATCTCCTTCACGACCATCGGCGGGATTAACAGCAACAGTGATGCTGTTCATCACTATCTGCAGACTAAAAGCCCCGCCATGCTTTTCTTGGTGGGGACCAATTCCGGCACGACGAACCAACTTAGCTTTTCAAACTACGGGTGCATTCGAATCTGAGAAAGAACGAGGATAGTTGTGGCTTTTATCTGCAGCAGGCTTTTCTGCTCCAGATACGTTTCTTAGGCATCAGGCTGCCTCTACTCCAAACCATACTCCCAAATTTATTTGTTGCCTTTGTCAAGATCGACTTCCTGAACATTACTCACCCTGCTTCAGAGATAGTTCTGCTCGGTGATCTCAATGCCTATAATGAGCTTCAGCTGGGCTCAAACAAGACCGATGCACTAGGTCTTGGTGTTGAAGTGTTTGCCACTACCCAAGGACTGACCTAACTGGTGAAGAGCCCTATCCCCCCCACGTTTCGTAACACGCCAGTAGCCTGCGGAATCCGTTTCTGACCACGAATTATGTCTCTTACAGTGATGCAGTTCTGGCTTCTCTGGGTAACTGAGACCACAGTGTTGTAGAGGTTTCGGTCAGTATCGGCTGTGAAAGCAGAATTGCATTAAGGCCATGCTGACTGAGAAGGTCTTTGAGACTTTTTCTCCACCGTTCCTTGAATAGATGGTTGGTTCGCTAACTTCGAGGCATCGGCTGTCTGGTCATCATTAACAGAAATTATCCAGTTGGGATGGAAGCACAGATAAGCCGATTTCCAGTCCAGAAATAATTATAACGAAGCGGTTCGCAATGCCAAAGACCAACACGATGTAAAAATGAGGCGCAGGTTAATGCCGCAGTGGAATGGCAGTCGGTCTTTTTCGACGCTAACCCAGCAGATTCTAAGGAAATTTCCAAATAGTAGAATCCCACCGCTTACGATCCAGGATGGAACGATTGCAACAAAATCAAATGCTTAGGATGAAGTGCTAGCCAAGATCTTTGCCTCCAGCTCCATTACGGATCTCCCCGCCGTCGATTCAAAAGGTTGCATACACTACGCGGGAAGTAACCTAAAGGCACTATTCCGTAAGACGTTCGACATCAACAAAGCTTCTGGTCCGGGCTTGATTGCTGTTGTTGTACTGAAGAGATGTGCAGCAGAGCTTTCTCCAGTTCTTCGCATCCAGATATCTTGGAACCTGGAACTTTCTCAGGAAACTGGACATTTACTGATGTTCAGCCCGACTAAAAAAAGGATCAAAGACCGACCCTTACAACTACAGGCTTGTAGTTCTGCCTTCTGTCATAAGTAAGGTACTGGACATGTGCATAAATCGGGAGCTTCTGGAGTACCATGAACTGCACGGCACGGCTGAGTGGCGAGCATTGCGATTTCCGGCACCAGCGATCTCCGGGGACCTCATAACTTATGTCACGAAAATGTGGAATAAGCTCATTCAATCTTACGGTGACGCTCATTACGTTGCTATTGATATCACGAAAGCTATGGAATACTGCCCTCTTATGCAAATTTTCATTCAATGGGTTCCCTGAGAAGCTTTGCAGATGGGTGGCTGACTGCCTCTCTGGCCGCAAGATATCCAACGTAACAGCAGTTTCTCCCAATCATCCCAAAGATATATCGAAGGTGTTTGGTTCCTACATTGTTCCTCTTACATGTCAGCGACCCCTTTTCCTATTCGGTCAATCCGATCCACATCTACTGATGACAGCACTCTAAATGCAGAAAAAGACTAGCAACGAATTCCTCTCTGACGAGAGACCTTGAGGTTATCACTGTTTGGGGACGCAACAATCTGGTACAGCTTTTGCTTCCAACATTACAAAATACTAGGACAAGCAGGGTCTAATTGAGGTTTCAGAAAACCACAACAAAGCATTTTTCCTAAAATGAATGTGAAGCATTACTTTTCATTATCATTTCTTGCCTTTGTTTTATACTCGTATTTCTGTGGTAGTAATCAGTTTACTAGAACTGATTTGGTTCCACAGTATCAAAAGTGTGCAACATTCAAAATACAGTAAAAGCGACCGTGAATATATACGTAAAGCATTTGTGTTGGCGCTTTGTTATTGTAAATATTATTACTTTATAATCTTATTGTACTAATCACAAAATATTTTGTAATGCGTATATCTTATGTTGCTTAATCGTATTAGTTATATAAAGTTTTCCCTAATGTAATCGTCCTATAAATATGTATACTTGCAATTTCCACGCGAATTTTGATTGGCAACAATCAATAATCATTGTCAGTAAAGATAAGTTCATTATGATTTATTAATTCATCTCATGCACTTATACACGGTAGATAGATAGTGATTTACTCGGAAAATCCACATCATCACAGCAGTGTACTATGATTGCATTTCATATGAGCTAAAACCATAATTTGTTCATGCACAATGCGTACCCAAATACATTCTTCAATAACCTTGAAGAAGGTGAACAGAAACTTGCATATTTCTCATAAAGAAATTTCTTGAAATAAGTTCAAAAAAATGCTTAATATGGCTTAAATTCAATAAACATGCTAAGCCTACAGCATTTTATTTTGCTTTTATCAATTTATTCTAGAAATAAATACGAACGCCTAAACTTAATATTTTAATAGAATGGCTTGCATGTAAATGGTCAATTTTTTCGAATGCTTTGACATGAAAAATTTTTCTTTAACTAGCCAATGATCAATTTCAGAGAAGATTTACTAATAGTCATTTATGGTTAGAATGAGCAAAATAACTCAAATACTTTTGATGTTGGGTAAAAATATTTCTTATAGCAGCCGCGCAGACAGAAGCCTAAATGAGAGGCTGGCTATGAGGAGCCTAAAGAAATTGTTTAATGTGATTTTTGAATTGCACAAGATTACTAGATCTGAGTATAGCTTCTCAATGTAGACTGTTCCACAATTTCGATACCCTAGGGACAAAAACCAGGGCCGTCTTAAGCCATGCGGGAGCCCTGGGCCCACAGGAGCTTGGGTCTCCCAAAAAAATCGAAGACAGGCGTACTTCTAATAAGACATATTTATTGAATTACAAATTGCCTTACAACAATATTATGGGTTTTTTTCGTGATTGCATTTTGGCAAAATCTTCAGTGATGTCAAACTCCAGTTGCTGCAAAATGTCACTCTCTACGAGTATAGACATAAGGGACAAACTGGTGAGGCGTTATTTGACATGGACGTTCTTGATTAATTTTTTGCAGGTAGATTACAGTAACTTAGGCCCGTATCGTCAGTCGTCCCTACAATTGTAGGGCGCCTTTATGGCCTCCTTGATTGTCATAGTTTTATACTTCTCCGTGTCAACGCTCTATTTTGAGGTTATGTCACAAACATCTATTTGCATCAAATTGTGCTTGCTTTTGAGTTATATCATGTTTTATCAGCCTGAAATTTCCTACAATTTAAAAAGAAAACATATCTTAACAATAGGAGAACGCTGGCGCTGACACGGGACGAGTGTAATCTAGAAATTTTTGAAGGAGAGAAAAGAGTATGACAATCAAGGAGGCCATAAACGCGCCCTACAATTGTAGGGACGACTGACGATACGGGCCTTAAACTAGAAGTTCCAGGTTGATCAGGCGGTGATGTGTGTGTAGAGTCTGTAGAGATCTTTATACTTGAGCTTGGTGAATGACATTCACTAATTATTTCTTCTACGTTAGATATACACTCACTTTCTGATTCTTGTTTGAAGGTATCTTGAGACGAGTAAACCGAAAAATCAACTTGCCTGTTAGTTTCCTCACGTGTAAAAAATGATGTTAGTTTTGGTAACTTGCTGGCATTTTCTTTATGAGCTGCAGTTTTTTTCCTTTTCTCTGAACCACTCAAATATATTCTTTTCGACATACTGATAAGAGATCATACGCAATTCTTTACTATTTTTGCTGGATAACTTCACTGATGAAGAACTAGGAAAGCAGAAAAATAAACCGCGCCAAAAGTCGAAGACATGAACCATCGTCTATCTCTTTCTGACATGTTCTGATCTGATTCAGGCTTCGTTCTAACAAAGCCGTGTACCGTACAGTGAATCATAATGAGCGTGCGCAGTACGTTTTAAGTGATACTAAAAACGTAGTGCGCACGCTCATGACGGTTCACTGTACTATATATCGGAACAAAGCCTCTGAAAGTACGTCCGCCCAAGAAGAGGGCACTCAACGGACCGAAGAAATAGAAGAAGAAGCCGAGAAGAGGACGGACGACACCGATTTCAGTGTCGCCACCAGACGGAGGAAGCGGGTGCGAGTTTCCTCCTCCGAAGATGAGTCACCAAGGCAGCCAAAGATGCCAGCTGCCGCCACCAAGAAGAGTCCTAGAGCAGCCAGGACCATCGTGCCCCCCATGGCAGGAACAGGAGTTCCGCCAATCAATATCGAGGGCACCGCTGATTGGTCATCCTTAAGCAGGATGATGAACAGCAAGGGGATTCAATTCTCCAAGGCGAGGACGGCGGGTACCAGTGTGAAGGTATTCACAAATACACCAGCTGACTACCGTCAGCTAGTCGCACTGCTGGAATCCATCAAGCGGCCCTTCTTCACCTATCAACTGAAGGAGGACAGGATGGACCAGAGGGTCATTCGTGGGCTACCCAGGGAGATGTCAGTCAATGACATCAAAGAGGATCTAGTGAGCCAAGGCATCGCAGACGCCGAGGTTCAGCAGATGACCTCAAGGACCACCAAGAAGCCACTTCCGCTCTTCCTCGTCAAGACGAAGATGCCGGAAAAGCTTGCAGAGATCCAGAGGCTGGCCATGCTCACGGTCAGCTTCGAGAGGAAGAAAAAGTCTTCCGAGCCCAGCCAATGTTACCGCTGCCAGCGGTACGGGCACACACAGCGGAACTGCTGTCTCGCTGAACGGTGCGTTAAGTGTGGAGAGGACCACAACAGCACCAGCTGCAGTCTGCCAGCGCCGCCAACAGGGCAACGAAACGCCAAGTGTTGCCTCTGTGGAGAAGGCCACCCCGCCAACTACAAGGGATGTAGTAAGGCCCCGAAGAAAGCTGCTTCTGCCCCCAAAGCAGTCCCCACCACAAATAGGACTTCTTACGCTCAAAAAGCGAATAAACCTATGCCACTGGAACTACTGCGCAGAAGCAACACGGCGATGACAGACTGCTAGCAATGATGCAAGCCATCATAACCCGCCTGGATGCACTCGAGGCCAAGATGCAAGACAAGCACTAGACCCGAAATGTCTACAGGGCAAAACGTAGAATCTCTACGCATTATCTCCTGGAACATCAACGGATTCAGGGCACGGAAACCAGAAATCCAGGAGATACTAGACCAGTACCAACCAGAGGTGATGGCCATCCAAGAAACGAAATTGGATGCTGCCCATAGTCTGACGTTCCCGCGGTACGAGACGTACCGCTACGACAGAAGGGGCAGAGGTGGAGGAGTCGCATTACTCGTCAAACGTACCTTGCCGAGTCATGTCCTCGACGATGCCGCAGACATAAATGGGGACGGAATCACGGTCCAGGTCCGTCACAACCACCGTCCCTACAGAATCACCTCCCTATATGTGCCACCAGGGGAGGCCCTAGACGAAGATGACATCGCTGACCTCCTGAGATCTAAACTGCAAGTCTCCGGCATGGAACAACAACGTCGAAGACAGGAATGCAAGGCAGCTCCAGGAACACGTCGATGCCCTGGCGGGGGTCATCGTCGGTCCGGAGCAACCAACCTACATTCCATTCGGCCTTGGGCGACCTGCGGTACTGGACATAGCCATCCTCCGCAACATCAGAGAGGAGTTCGAGATAGAGACCCTGGTGGAAGGATCGTCGGACCACAATCCGATTCTACTAACACTTGGCACAGGGTCTAGAACTCGAGATAGCTTGAGCACCAAACGGACGAACTGGAACCTGTACAAATCCAACGTCCAAAGGAACATCACTCAAATTCCAACCATCCGATCAGCGGAGGAACTGGACAACGCAGTAGAGGAGCTGGAGAATGCTGTCCTGCGAGCGCACGAGGACAGCACCCGCTCCGAGACTACGGCAGTTCCTAGACACCTAAATGGTCCAGCACCGCACCATATTAGGCACCTGATCAGGGAGAACAGAAGACTCAAGCGAGAACATCTCCAACTGTTGACAGAGGAGTCGAGAGTTGCGCGAAACAGAGCATCGTTAGCTCTGAAGAACGCACTCGCGGAACTCCAAAACAGCAGATGGAATGCAGCCTGTGCAGAACTAGAGACCCAGGATGGTACGGCCTGGTCTATGCAGCGAAAATTTCGTCGTCAGCGCACCACGATCCCCACTTTTCACGGCCAACGCGGCTTGGCCTACTCCAGTGAAGAAAAAGCCGAAGCATTCGCCGATTCGCTAGAATCCGAATGCAGACTCAATTACCATGAAGACGAGGACGACAACCACGAGGAGGCCGTGGAAGTCGCAGCCGAAAACATGAGGAGTCGACCACCTGGCCAGGAGACGGATCACCCCTCCAGTCCAGAGGAAATCCGTCTGATCATCCGCAGGTTGAAGGTCAGAAAGGCGCCGGGAAGGGACGGCATCAACAACAGGATGCTGAAGAACCTTCCCACCAAAGGCATTGCTGCGCTCACCAACATCGCCAATGCCACCCTGAGACTTAACCACTTCCCGCGGCGGTGGCGGGAAGCCCAGGTTATAATGCTCACCAAGCCAGGCAAGGACCGGAAGTTGCCCCAGAACTACCGGCCCATCAGCCTGGTTTCCTCGATGGGCAAAGTAGTCGAAAAGGCTATCGCCGTTCGACTAGAGAAGCAGGCAGAAGAACTGCAACTTCTCCCCCCAGAGCAATTCGGCTTCAGATCCTCGCACAACACGGAACTCCAAGCGCTACGACTGACAGAAAACATCACCAGCGGCTTCAATCTCCAGGAGGCAACCGGTCTCGTCCTGCTGGACGTGGAACGAGCCTTCGACCGAGTTTGGCACGATGGACTCATCGCCAAAATGGAAGCCGCCGGAATCGATGCGAACATGTGCCAACTGATCCAGAGCTATCTAACACAAAGATGGTTCACGGTGAGGATTGGTACATGCCATTCAACAAGACGACAGCTGGAAGCAGGCGTGCCCCAGGGGTCAGCCTTAGCCCCCCTGCTCTACAACATCTATACTTACGATGTGCCGAAGACAGCTGACACAATGCTGGCCCTATATGCAGACGACACTGCTATAGCCGCCAAGCATAGACGACCCGAGATCATCCGTAGGAAACTACAGGATGAACTGGACCACATTCAGGACTGGTGCGTGAAATGGAAAATCCGCATCAACGTCCAGAAGACGCAGGCAATCTTCATTCAACGAAGAAGGATTGCAAGACCTCTCGAAGCATCCATCTTCGACGAAGATATCCAGTGGAGCGACAATGTCAAATATCTGGGGATCGTATTTGACAAGTCCCTCACCTGGAAAGCGCACATAGAAGCTGTCATCGCAAAAACCAGAGCAGCCATGGCTCAACTCTATCCATTACTGGGTAGACACAGCCAGATGCCGCTAGCGACCAAGCTACGGCTGATCAAGGCCATCGCCAGACCTCAGCTCGCTTACGCCTCCGCGGTCTGGGGGTACGCTGCCCCCAGCTACCGCAAGCGACTTGCTGCTCTAGAGATGAAGCTACTCCGGATCGCCACCAATGCACCTTCCTACGTAAGGAACTCAACCTTGCGTAGAGACCTGCATTGGGATACCATCCACGAGTACATGAGGAAAAAAGCGGAGAAGACCTTCGAGAAAGCTCAGGACCACCTGAACGAGCAGCTACGATTCCTCATGGACTACGATCCGGACGAGAGGCCTCGCAACCGCAGAACCAGGTACCCCAGACCAAGGTCTCAGCTGGCACCCGCTAACTGGAACCTTGACTAGGAGACTAGGAGAACTTGCGGCTGCTCCCCCCCCCCCACCCCACGGCGTGGATGCAGAGGACCAGGAACCACCGGGACCAGGACCCACCGGGACCAGGACCAACCAGGACCAGGACCCGCCACGACCAGGACCCACCAGGACCAGGACCAGGAACAACATATTGGTAAGAGGACTTGAAACTCTTGATTTTTCGAAAACAAGAGTTTCAAGAGAACCAGCAGACCCTCTATCGATGATCGCTTAACGACATCGATAGAATGTGCGAGGTAAAGGGAACCAACCCGGCGTTCCCAGAGACTGAAACACATGAGGAGACGTTGTAGCAGACCGCAGGTCACGCACAACACATGGCCTAACGAGAAGCTGATGAGTCGGACCACGCGGAGGTTTAGGGTTTAGTGGGTATTAGGTGCTCTCCTCAAGACCCTGGAGTCCCACACACGCCGTAGCTCGGGCTATGGTATGGTGCGTAAATGCATTCCCCCCTCACCAAAAAAAAAAAGTACGTCAGTCTATCCCGCAACTACGCGCATCATCTCGATGAGTACCTATAGCTTAATAGATTATGTAGATGTGGCATGTGGCTATATGTATATGCATACCTGCATCAGTGCAGTTGGATCATAATAACTAGAAGGCACTGTTATAGACTACTTTTATGAATAAAAGTTGCAGTAGTCTATGTGATGGCTAGATGGCGCAACCTTTAGCTTCGGTAAAATTTTGAACTGAATCCAACACATTGCATATAAGCATCTGGCTTTTGGGGCCCCCATCATGGCGGACCTCCTGTGTTAAGACGGCCTGCAAAAGACCGGTAGTATCGGCGAGTTCTGGATATGCGACACGGTTAGGCCGAAGTTAGACGGGTCTGGCTCGCAAGCACATCGCGCGGCAGCATCATTGAGGAGATTTCTGAGGAGCAAAGCTCGTTGGCTTAGCGGTAGAAGAGAGCTAGATCACCGACGGTCCGTCGATCAGTCAGAAAACCCTACTATGAACAGTATCGAGCATGGATAAGTGCCTTGTTTCCCAGCAGCTGATACTATTGATGAGACGTGTTCATTTCAGATCGAATCCTTGGTGATCTGGACATGACCCTCCATCAAAACTCGATGAACGCTAGGACGCTTCTTGTTAGTCAAGGTATATTAGTGTATTTTGAAAGCATTAATTGTTCCAAATGGTTGCCAAGCAGTGATAACCTCCGGGTCACTTATCAGAGAGGAACTCACTGCTAGTGTCACCGGCAGACATCGGCGCATCACTCTGAATTCCTTTTTGGTGAAAACTTGTCAAAAGGGATACTATAGGGTGACAAGGGTCGGTTTCTTATTAATAAACATATGTCATAAAAATCAAGTTAACGAAATGCAACGTTTGAAAAATGTTAACTAAGTTGAAAGAATGACGATCAATATACTATGTGTATATACATGCGTAAATTTATTTGTTCACCCTACCAGAAAGGCAAAAACAAAATCCAAGAAAGATAATCACTCTTATCTTAATTTTATTTTCACTTTTCATAAAAATACTTATTATATCTTTCAATAAATAATTTAGATCATATACCCTTGACTCCACCGTAATTCCTTGAGTATTTTTGTAAAAAAATATCTTATATATGGCCTCCATTTGATAACAACGGCTGCAGGGAGAAGTTCGTTTATTGCCAAACGTTTACTTATCGCTTTACACGTTTTTAAAAGTATAATTTTGAAAATTATTTAAAAAATATTTTGACTCAAATCAATCAATAATATGGTTTCATTAGCATGGAACTACATTACTTTCTTAGTATAATAAGCGCTCACTGAGACTTGTACGACCATCTTGCATCCTACAAGACAGATGTGAAGATGTAATGCCATTTCTCAAAAAAATCGCAACAAAAAGACAAACAACAACAAATTGAAAACAGTTACATTTGAAATTCGTGGTGTTTTCTTGACATTTCAAAGTACATGTTTTTAAGGATTTTTGAATTCAGTGGCACAAGAATGAAAATGAGACGAACGTATAATAGCAAGTTGCTTCATTTTTGGCGGTTTTTAGCAGTAACTTGAATATTTTTTGTCCAAAATTAATTTCGTACGCATTCTATGATCATTCCGTTAGCAATTTAATATCGACATGAAAAAAATGAGGATTTTTATGCCTATTTTTCACTAATAAAAAATAGGCTCATGACTTTTTTCCTGACACGACTCATACTTTGAAACATTTCCACAAATCATTCTGTCCTTTCACATCTCCCAATGATTTTGTTATACTTTTTAGACTCATATTTGAATAACTAACATTATTTTATATCATATATAGATTGTTTGAACAACAAAAATAAAAATTCTATGTCAGTTGGTGTCCATGGTGATCATGGTACTTACCTTCTATCGCTCCAAAAAATCCAAACACCACTACAACAATCACTATCATTTTGAATGAATTTATCGTCCACGAATATTAATTGAATGTAATTTAACAGTTACTTAGACATTTCATTTTACTGAGAAAACGGAAAAAAATCATACATTCTTCCATTTCCTTTCACCGGTTCTATGCGTATGGATAGTTCGTACGACAATGCATTGAGTTTTGACCTTAAACCGTTCGCGTTTTTATATGGATATGGTATTATGCAGATTTTAATGCTGTTAATTGTGAGAGTATGTCTATTCGAAGGTGATTATGGATTATGTATGATAGTTTTCCGTTTGTGCACACAACACTTCAAAGGTACTCTGAAGAGGACGTTCACTATAGCACCCTTTGGTGACACCCACCTATGTAGCGCAATTTTGCGATTTTTACTTATAGCCCTATAAGAGAATACAAAATTATCTGAAAACCTTGCAAAAGTTGTATAATGGATGAACATTTGGATTTAAGTAACCAAAGTGGTATTCTTCAGCATACGAAAAATTCCGGATCCTGCGGCAGGTACTGAAACATTTTTTGACAGCTTTGTGATTTTTGTTAAGGTGTGTCAAGACGATTTTGTAGATTCATGAATAAGCTATAAAAGTTGTTCCTATGATGATATATTTTTCGATCAGATAAATTCTTTGTGGTAATTTTGATATATTTCCATCAAAATTCAGCTTTTTTTTACATGTAAGTGGCTTGAAAACTGTTTTATCAATCTTATCGCTCAAAAATCCCTCATACAATTGGCATAATCTCTTAAACGAATGCAGATATGGAACAATCGTAGAGACAACTTTTGAAGCTTATTTATCGAGCTACAAATTTGCTCTAACAACTTCTTTTCTATATACTCGTATAATATTTACAGGACCGCAAAAAAAACAAAAATCAAAAAGTGTTTCAAGAATTCTTCAGAATTGAAGATTCCTCTGCTATCCTCGTGAGTATTCTTTATACATTAAGTATTCTTTGAAGTAACGCTATCCTCAAAATTTGAAAGGTGTTTTCCATTAAAAACTACTGGGAGAGTAAAAAATACAAGATACATAATATAATTTGAGAAATTTTCTGACCATCAAAAGACAATGTCAAGTTCATATTAGTTGCATTACGTTGTAAAACAGAATACCTAGAATTTGAGAGAGAATTGTAATAAGCTGTTTTACAACGGAGATATATTCTTGAGGCTATCTCGCCAAGAGTAGAAAACATTCTGCAAGTCAACTTTTTTATGAACCGCCAAAGTAAGCCCAGAAAAAGTTGTTGGTAATAAAAATACCTTCAAAATAAGACCTTGCATGGCCGATTTGACGTAACGGTTAATTTGCTGTTACAAAATAAAAACGTCAGTAATCCGTGATTTCTACATTTATTTTTGACGATCAATCTGAAATAAAAGCCAAAAGTTAAAGCCTTTGTGGGCTTGTGGGGCTGTCCAGTGACTTTGGAACAATCAAATGACCTCATATTGGGCTTATTCTGTTGCTAGAGAGCTTGTTTAAAATCTTATTCGATGGAATGTATACGATCTGTATGCTTAGTACTCTTTTCAAGTAATAACATGAAAATTTGTAATCTCGTAGCTAAATTGGAGTAATCTATTTTTCACGATAGTTAATTACGTCGAAACGTGACAACACACAGTGACAGGTGGTGCTCAGATGAGATGGATCAGTCAACACCAGCCGTTTTTCGATGTTTTTTTTTTGCCTCTAACACGCCAAGGGACATAAACGCTTAGTATTGTGTTTTGTTTTTTTTTTTTTTTTAACGAGGGGGGAATGCATTTACGCACCATACCATAGCACGAGCTACGACGTGTGTGGGGCTCCAGGGTCTTGAAGAGATCACCTAATACCCACTAAACCCTAAACCTCCGCGTGGCCCGACTCATCAGCGTCTCGGTAGGCCATGTGTTGTGCGTGACCTGCGGTCTGCTACAACGTCTCCTCATGTGTTTCAGTCTCTGGGAACGCCGGGTTGGTTCCCTTTACCTCGCACATTCTATCGATGTCGTTAAGCGATCATCGATAGAGGGTCTGCTAGTTTCTCTTGAAACTCTTGTTTTCGAAAAATCAAGAGTTTCAAGTCCTCTTACCAATATGTTGTTCCTGGTCCTGGTCCTGAAGGGTCCTGGTCCTGGTGGGTCCTGGTCGTGGCGGGTCCTGGTCCTGGTTGGTCCTGGTCCCGGTGGTTCCTGGTCCTCTGCATCCACGCCGTAGGGGGGGGGGGGGGGCGCAGCCGCAAATTCTCCTAGTCTCCTAGTCAAGGTTCCAGTTAGCGGGTGCCAACTGGGACCTTGGTCTGGGGTACCTGGTTCTGCGGTTGCGAGGCCTCTCGTCCGGATCGTAGTCCATGAGGAATCGTAGCTACTCGTTCGGGTGGTCCTGAGCTTTCTCGAAGGTCTTCTCCGCTTTTTTCCTCATGTACTCGTGGATGGTATCCCAATGCAGGTCTCTACGCAAGGTTGAGTTCCTTACGTAGGAAGGTGCATTGGTGGCGATCCGGAGTAGCTTCATCTCTAGAGCAGCAAGTCGCTTGCGGTAGCTGGGGGCAGCGTACCCCCAGACCGCGGAGGCGTAAGCGAGCTGAGGTCTGGCGATGGCCTTGATCAGCCGTAGCTTGGTCGCTAGCGGCATCTGGCTGTGTCTACCCAGTAATGGATAGAGTTGAGCCATGGCTACTCTGGTTTTTGCGATGACAGCTTCTATGTGCGCTTTCAGGTGAGGGACTTGTCAAAAACGATCCCCAGATATTTGACATTGTCGCTCCACTGGATATCTTCATCGAAGATGGATGCTTCGAGAGGTCTTGCAATCCTTCTTCGTTGAATGAAGATTGCCTGCGTCTTCTGGACGTTGATGCGGATTTTCCATTTCACGCACCAGTCCTGAATTTGGTCCAGTTCACCCTGTAGTCTCCTACGGATGATCTCGGGTCGTCTATGCTTGGCGGCTATAGCAATGTCGTCTGCATATAGGGCCAGCATTGTGTCAGCTGTCTTCGGCACATCGTAAGTATAGATGTTGTAGAGCAGGGGGGCTAAGGCTGACCCCTGGGGCACGCCTGCTTCCAGCTGACGTCTTGTTGAATGGCATGTACCAATCTTCACCGTGAACCATCTTTGTGTTAGATAGCTCTGGATTAGTTGGCACATGTTCGCATCGATTCCGGCGGCTTCCATTTTGGCGATGAGTCCATCGTGCCAAACTCGGTCGAAGGCTCGTTCCACGTCCAGCAGGACGAGACCGGTTGCCTCCTGGAGATTGAAGCCGCTGGTGATGTTTTCTGTCAGTCGTAGCGCTTGGAGTTCCGTGTTGTGCGAGGATCTGAAGCCGAATTGCTCTGGGGGGAGAAGTTGCAGTTCTTCTGCCTGCTTCTCTAGTCGAACGGCGATAGCCTTTTCGACTACTTTGCCCATCGAGGAAACCAGGCTGATGGGCCGGTAGTTCTGGGGCAACTTCCGGTCCTTGCCTGGCTTGGTGAGCATTATAACCTGGGCTTCCCGCCACCGCCGCGGGAAGTGGTTAAGTCTCAGGGTGGCATTGGCGATGTTGGTGAGCGCAGCAATGCCTTTGGTGGGAAGGTTCTTCAGCATCCTGTTGTTGATGCCGTCCCTTCCCGGCGCCTTTCTGACCTTCAACCTGCGGATGATCAGACGGATTTCCTCTGGACTGGAGGGGTGATCCGTCTCCTGGCCAGGTGGTCGACTCCTCATGTTTTCAGCTGCGACTTCCACGGCCTCCTCGTGGTTGTCGTCCTCGTCTTCGTGGTAATTGAGTCTGCATTCGGATTCTAGCGAATCGGCGAATGCTTCGGCTTTTTCTTCACTGGAGTAGGCCAAGCCGCGTTGGCCGTGAAGAGTGGGGATCGTGGTGCGCTGACGACGAAATTTTCGCTGCATAGACCAGGCCGTACCATCCTGGGTCTCTAGTTCTGCACAGGCTGCATTCCATCTGTTGTTTTGGAGTTCCGCGAGTGCGTTCTTCAGAGCTAACGATGCTCTGTTTCGCGCAACTCTCGACTCCTCTGTCAACAGCTGGAGATGTTCTCGCTTGAGTCTTCTGTTCTCCCTGATCAGGTGCCTAATATGGTGCGGTGCTGGACCATTTAGGTGTCTAGGAACTGCCGTAGTCTCGGAGCGGGTGCTGTCCTCGTGCGCTCGCAGGACAGCATTCTCCAGCTCCTCTACTGCGTTGTCCAGTTCCTCCGCTGATCGGATGGTTGGAATTTGAGTGATGTTCCTTTGGACGTTGGATTTGTACAGGTTCCAGTTCGTCCGTTTGGTGCTCAAGCTATCTCGAGTTCTAGACCCTGTGCCAAGTGTTAGTAGAATCGGATTGTGGTCCGACGATCCTTCCACCAGGGTCTCTATCTCGAACTCCTCTCTGATGTTGCGGAGGATGGCTATGTCCAGTACCGCAGGTCGCCCAAGGCCGAATGGAATGTAGGTTGGTTGCTCCGGACCGACGATGACCCCCGCCAGGGCATCGACGTGTTCCTGGAGCTGCCTTGCATTCCTGTCTTCGACGTTGTTGTTCCAAGCCGGAGACTTGCAGTTTAGATCTCCGATGACTATGCGTGCTCCTGGGCCTCTCAGGAGGTCAGCGATGTCATCTTCGTCTAGGGCCTCCCCTGGTGGCACATATAGGGAGGTGATTCTGTAGGGACGGTGGTTGTGATGGACCTGGACCGTGATTCCGTCCCCATTTATGTCTGCGGCATCGTCGAGGACATGACTCGTCAAGGTACGTTTGACGAGTAATGCGACTCCTCCACCTCTGCCCCTTCTGTCGTAGCGGTACGCCTCGTACCGCGGGAACGTCAGACTATGGGCAGCATCCAACTTCGTTTCTTGGATGGCCATCACCTCTGGTTGGTACTGGTCTAGTATCTCCTGGATTTCTGGTTTCCGTGCCCTGAATCCGTTGATGTTCCAGGAGATAATGCGTAGAGATTCTACGTTTTGACCTGTAGACATTTCGGGTCTAGTGCTTGTCTTGCATCTTGGCCTCGAGTGCATCCAGGCGGGTTATGATGGCTTGCATCATTGCTAGCAGTCTGTCATCGCCGTGTTGCTTCTGCGCAGTAGTTCCAGTGGCATAGGTTTATTCGCTTTTTGAGCGTAAGAAGTCCTATTTGTGGTGGGGACTGCTTTGGGGGCAGAAGCAGCTTTCTTCGGGGCCTTACTACATCCCTTGTAGTTGGCGGGGTGGCCTTCTCCACAGAGGCAACACTTGGCGTTTCGTTGCCCTGTTGGCGGCGCTGGCAGACTGCAGCTAGTGCTGTTGTGGTCCTCTCCACACTTAACGCACCGTTCAGCGAGACAGCAGTTCCGCTGTGTGTGCCCGTACCGCTGGCAGCGGTAACATTGGCTGGGCTCGGAAGACTTTTTCTTCCTCTCGAAGCTGACCGTGAGCATGGCCAGCCTCTGGATCTCTGCAAGCTTTTCCGGCATCTTCGTCTTGACGAGGAAGAGCGGAAGTGGCTTCTTGGTGGTCCTTGAGGTCATCTGCTGAACCTCGGCGTCTGCGATGCCTTGGCTCACTAGATCCTCTTTGATGTCATTGACTGACATCTCCCTGGGTAGCCCACGAATGACCCTCTGGTCCATCCTGTCCTCCTTCAGTTGATAGGTGAAGAAGGGCCGCTTGATGGATTCCAGCAGTGCGACTAGCTGACGGTAGTCAGCTGGTGTATTTGTGAATACCTTCACACTGGTACCCGCCGTCCTCGCCTTGGAGAATTGAATCCCCTTGCTGTTCATCATCCTGCTTAAGGATGACCAATCAGCGGTGCCCTCGATATTGATTGGCGGAACTCCTGTTCCTGCCATGGGGGGCACGATGGTCCTGGCTGCTCTAGGACTCTTCTTGGTGGCACCAGCTGTCATCTTTGGCTGCCTTGGTGACTCATCTTCGGAGGAGGAAACTCGCACCCGCTTCCTCCGTCTGGTGGCGACACTGAAATCGGTGTCGTCCGTCCTCTTCTCGGCTTCTTCTACGTCGATATCTTGGGCATAGTATTGTGTAGATACACACCAACTTTTATATACTAACAGCTAAAATAAAAAAGTGGCGTCAAGTAGATTGATTCTATACTTCCCACGCCTTCGAAACAACTTGGAGTGGTACAATTTTCCATGTAGTGCAATGGTATAAAAAAGACGTAGGTTATGTCAGAACCATTTGTGGACTATTTGGACTCTTCATAGAAGAAGAATTCTCTGATTGCAGCAATGAGCACGTCCGTATATATATTTATACTATTCTATATGATACTACATCACGAAATCGAGTATGCGCCTAAAATTACAATCCAGTTATAATGCTCTTATTTATAAGTAATGTTGCACCCACTTCTTATATGCTAACTGCTTTCAGAAGTCCCTGGACTCTACTACTAAAGCTGCAAGTGCGACCGATAGGTACGCGAGCCAGTTGCTTTTCTGTTTTAAGAGCAAATGTACGGGGATATCTATGATGTGTGAAATATGTCTAATAGGTTGGTAGTGTATTAATATACTAAAATGAAAAAACTGAGATATACCCTCTCCCACCTTCCTATAACCCCGAAAACCTCAACTCTTTAACCCTAAAAAAAATTCAAAAATAATCGGAACTCGTAACGTTAAAAAACGAATTTCGGCCTATTTTTGTGTTTTGCATTTTACTGCACCGCCACTGGACTGATTTCCAAAAACTTTTTGGTCCTTGGTACAATAGTAACCTGGTGTAGAAATTTCATCAAAATCCGAGCAATATTCTCAAAGTCATAGATGGGCCAAGGATTACCAGGCAGAGAAACAGACAGTCGGACGGAAATGAATGACATGGTTTTCCGAGATGTACATATGTGACAAACAACACCCAAAAATATGCAAAAAAACATCCAAAAAACATAAAATCTCATTTTCGGAAATTTTCCGTAATTAAAATACATCTCGCTAGTGGGCGTGGGAAATAGCTAGAAACAGCTTTTCACTTGTATTAAAAAACAAGACAAACTATCTGCATTATTATTTCGCTGATATTTTGAAACAACGAATAAGTAATTCATGCTCAATACGTTTAATTTAAACATAACGGCTGCTATAGTTAATTTACCACTCTAAGGCATGTGGAAATCCATGGGTTGTGGTACTTATCGCTCGGAAAACCTAATCATAAGGTAAACTTTTTGTCAAAATTTTGAAACAGAGAATGTTCTGTATACCAGAATGCTTTAAATCGCACCGATACCAACAAATCCTTTCGTTTATCCAGACCGCAAATACACGTTCAAACGAAAAATTGTCCAATCAACTTGTCTAAAGGTTTTTCCTCATAGCAGTCTGGCCAAAACTTACGATATAAAATAAAAATGGGAAAAGGAGACAGAAGAGAAAGGAATACATTTTTGTAATAATTTATTAAATACTAAATATGTCCACCATCCAGTGCGATGCCAAACAAACTCGACGAACAGTTAACAGCATCATGGATACTCTGGAACACTCTTAGAGACGGTTTCAGGGTTTTGATGAGCTCGCATTTCTCCATCATGTCATATACCGGATCTGAAATTGATAAATCGTGTAGCAGAAAGATAACAAATAAGAGGAAGCGCGAAGGTTGAATGTTTGTCGATGACGATTGGTTTTCCAACTATCCATTTCATATCCGCTCCAGAACAAAGATATCTCTTAATCCACATTCAAACTAACGCGGACAATATTTTTTCTATATTGTAAAACACAGCTGGTACAACCCAAGGGTCAATCAAGTGAATTTTGTGTTGCGAGGATGAGAATGTTTGTTCTAATAGAACTAATAATTGATTATACTTACCGTTGCAACCACAAACATATACGGAAATATCAAGTTTCTTAAAACCTTCTACTACTGTTTTCATCATCGAAATTCCGGAGGGGTCAATATAACTAACCATCGAAAAATCTAGGATCACGCATTTCATGTTGAAGTTCACTTTCTGCTTGAGCTTGGTAATTTTGTGTACATCGTTCTCTTTGGGCAAGTCCTCTCCCTAAAATATAATGAAATTTAATAGCATAAAGATTATTTATTATTATTAATATTACTAAATTATTTGGAAATTAAACTTCTCACGTATTTCGGTTATAAGCCTTTGTATCCTATGTATACTACGTACTCTCCTCTTTGCATATGAGAAATCAAGATTCGATTCTTACAAGCTTGTCTAAGCAGAGCTTTACAGGGTGTTAATAAAGTATGTAGTCAAACTTAACCATCAAAGGCTTTCTTTTCGAGCTAGAACACTAAAGAAATACCAGTAATGTTCCAAGTATGTCTATGAATAATGAAACATATTTATTGAACAGTTGGTATAACCTATGATGAATTTTGCATGTTTTACAACTTGGTGAGCCTCAATATGAAGGTGAATGAAAATAGTATTATCCGGTATTTAAAAAAAATAGTTATGAACAATAACATTCGAATAGAATGACCACAATAGACAATATCGAAAAGTTTTTTTACAATGAATGTTCAAAGTGGCCACCTTCGACTTCAATACAGGCGTCTAGTCTGTAACACATTGACTGACAAGCTATCCTGAAAATATCCGGAGTATTTTGTATAGTCAGACATGACTCGACAATTCTGACTCATAAGTCCTCCACGCTTTATGCTAATATGCTCTAGAAATTTCGTCTTCAAATTAACCAAGGATTCGATGGTTAAGGTTTGTCTACATACTTTATTAACACCCTGTATGTGGATCGGCACCAACTTTGAACTCACTAATATTTACAGTGTGTTTCAAATTCGACCCTCACTATTGGGATTCCGGAAACTGTAATGAAGTCGCTTAAATGGGAGCAAAGTTGCGTATTTAGGAAATCAACAAAACTCCGCTTCGAAATTCAAAGTAATTCCTGAGAGAGACGGAAAAAAATCGAAATTTCCAAAAATTGTTTTAATTTTTTTCCTGACTAATTGTAGTGGGATTTCAAAATAAATTGCACATTACCATCGTAACTTTTTCTTCTCTAAAAGACGGCATAGAGATTTTAATTCTAAATTCAAAAATGTATCATCACACATTAGCATTGCCAATCATAAGTTATTTCAAGAAAAGTAGTAGTTTCTAGGTAGGCCATGAAATTATCAGATAGTAATTTGTTTCGCATACCAGTTTTATCCTAAAATCACTTTTATTTTTTTCTGACATCATTTGAGATGGATTTCAAAATAAATTAACATGTCCTTGTTACTCTACAAGATGACGTAGTCAAATTTTCATTTTTCGCTATAAGGGAATTTTGTACATTTTCAGTCCTAAATTCATATAGTTTCTTAATCGGCCATGAATTTCTTGTTGAAAATTATAAGGAACTAAAAGCTATAGTGGAACATGAACAGAAAATGAAAATTGATGGTAATAACAATAATAAGCAATAATAAGCAAATAATAATAAGCAAATGTAAATCATAGCAGATGTTCAAAATGTTGTGCGTGACGTATGCAAAACCTGACTCTTTTATTGTAGATTGTTCACTGCTCGATCTATTTCTCTTCTCAGTCTTCCAAGCTCTATGTTAATTTGAGGTCTAGTCGCGTATACGAAACAAATGAAGTCTGATGAGTTCAAGGCCTACCTAGAAACTTCTGTTTTTCTGGAATATCACACATTTTTGAAATCAGAATCAATGGCGTCCATAAGAAAAAATAAAGTTGATGCTGGAGGACAAGAGACAAAACGTCATATTGAAATTTCAACTCTGCCATCTTGTAGAGCAGAAAAAGTGATAATCTTTTTGGAATCCCTCTACAAATAAAGCCAAGAGAAAATTCGGTTTTTCCTGTCTCTCTTCGAAAGTACTTCGAATTTCGAAGCTTCCTACGCAGCATTCTGTTAGCTACATAAATAGGCAACTTTGCCTGAATTTAATCGACTTTTTATCTCTTATCGTTGCCGAGATCCCAATGGTGAGGGTCGAATTTGAAACACCCTATATACGTTAGGTGATATACTCACATTCTCCAGCTTTTGAGCAAGTTTAGTCCTGTAGGCTAGTTCTTTCTGTGGATTCAATTCAATTAGCTCATATAAACTAGCCTTGAAAATATTTCTTGTTGCAAAATTTATTCCTCCACTGTACTGGAAAATCTTAACACCGTCAATTTGTTTGGCCTGAAAAAAAACACAAGAAGTACTAGACAAATAAACCTCAATTATACTACGACTGTGATTCATGTAAAGTTTTCTCTGTGCCGTGCTGGGTCATATTGACCCATCTTATATTTTTGATCACTATGGTCAAAGTAAGTCTTTCTTGTTTTGATATCAGTCACATAATACATTTTTATTTTGAAAGAGGATAACACCCCAAACAGTGGAAGCTGGTCTTAATTATATCTTTCGTTACCCGTGCCTTCAAAAATCTAGAAAACGGCGTTTAAGTACTTGTGCAACAGAAATCTTCAATAAAATAAACCTGATTTCGTCCGTCCTACCAAAGATAACCAACCATGGTCAGCTGTTCCGTGCTTTTTGGCTACTGCTCAGCAGCTATACATTATACAAAGTGTGTGATCTATCGAAATAAGACAGCGCACTATCTACCAGTAGAATATACCACTGCGAAATATTTAAATTAATCTAGGTTTACGTCTAATCATACGTTGGTTAGTGCCGTTGCAACAGATCATAAGTGACAACAATCACTATCATTGGCCAATACCCGCCGAAAACTACGCGTTTAGCGTTCATTTGCCTAACCGTATCCACTATGAAGAGAAGACTTAATATCCTCTTAGACCCGTCGATATTTCTAGGTATGTCTATTTAATATACTCATTAAGTAATGTACTGATATGTAACAACACCGCGAATCGCAGCGCGCGCATTTTGTCGAACAACATTGCAACGAGCATCACCACAAACCGAACGACGTCGTGCAACCACATCACGCAACAAAATGCCGATCCAATTTTGATGTTTGTCGTTCAGTGAAAGACTAATACTAACTGAAATGGATATAACAGTAGCAGCAGCTACCTATATTTATATTCACTACGAATTATCCAAAAACAAGTGATGACGAGGTCCGAGACGATGGTGGCAAACGCAGTTATATACCAATGGATCAGCACACGGTTGCAACAATTTTATAATGGAATTGCCATTTTCCGCTTACATAAGCCAGCTGTTGTTCCCATTGTGGACGCTATCTGCTCCGAGGCATCATTTTTTTTTTAAATTTATTGTAATTGCATCCCACAACAATTCCGCTGCTCTGTAATGCTCTATAAGCAAAAGACTGACCATTCCATCTTTTCTTCCAGGGGTCTATCCATTTACAGAGATGAGCGCGTCCTCGCCGCACCGGTATGCCTGTCCAAACATGTGCAACTTCGTCGCGAGGGTCTTTTCATCGTCGTTGGTCGCGAGCCATTCGTTTGATGTTGCGCTGAAAAACCGACAGAGCCTGGATCGGGCCGAACGGCGAGCTGTAACGCTAATCAGGTTCGCGATGGCATTCTTTAATTCTTTTCACCGTCGACACTAGCGCGGCGCAGCTCGTCGCGTGGTTCGGTTCGCGGTGTTGTTACAAATCTGTACGTGGCTTTACCTGTCTGTATCTACTAAGATCCACGTACATGTCTGTACTAGGTACCCTTCCTAGCAGACAAACATATGGCCTAAAATTAAGTGCGAGTATGGCGACGAGTGAGACGGCCACTCCAGCTAGCAACCCTATGTCGATTCCAATCACCACTACTGACAAGCATGTGATTAACCAGATTAGGGCGTCCATTTTACTCAGTTTCCAGAACCTTACGAGGTCTTTCACTTGAAGAAGCATTCCTTTTAGGGCTACCACAATTACACTTGCAAGGACACTCTGGAAGATAATAAGACATTATAAATAAATACTGAAATGCTAATAAAAAGGAACTCATGCTGATATGCGGAAGTTCGATAAATATATGCATTTTAGGGCCGTATCGTCAGTCGTTCCTACAATCGTAGGACGCCTTTATGGTCTCCTTGACTCATAGTTTTTCCTGTCCTTCAGAAAAGCAGGGGTATTTCTAGATTTCTACTGTTCCGTGTCAGCGCTCTATTTTTAGGTTAGTTTACAAATATCTATTTGCATCAAATTTTTCATGCTTTTGACTTAAATCATCTGTTTTATCAGTCTGAAATTTTCTACAATTCACAAACATAACTAGGAGAGCGCTGACGCTGACACTGAACAGTAGAAATCTAGAAATACCTCAGACTTTCTGAAGGAAAGAAAATACTATGAAAATCAAGGAGGCCACTATGGCGCCCGACAGTTGTTGGAACGACTGACGATGCGGCCCTTACTTATAACACAGTTTTGTGTGTATGTATGTAATACCTAACGAATTCAGACTAGGTAGAAGGAGCCAGTCAAGGATTTACTTGTATCCTTATTTTCGTAGTTTGTAGTGAGGATGAGACACTTGACATGATAAGTGAATTCTCTGACAGTTCTGTCATTAAATTCGTAGTTTTAGTGCTATTTATAGAAGTGCGAGTGTTTGCAGTTGATTGTGGTGTTAGATGATCTTAAGACGTGCTACTTCATACATAATTTTCAAAGAACAGCACCAGCCTAATTGGCCCAGATGTTTCCATCGGTAAGTATTACTATTATTATTATTATTATGTTGATACAACGCTGTCAATTTGGTAGGCAATTCTATTCAATGTTACATTCACGTTATTGAAAACCACGGACAATGACACTATCCTTTTGTGGTTCAATTTATTCACTGGAATTGTATTATTATTCGTGGCCACAATTGGCCAGGTAGTATTGTAATTGGAGACTAAGTATAGTAATCGCGAAGACGAGAGACTATGTTTTTTGGATGTTACATGACCTTGTACATCACGAAAAACTATGTCACTCATTTCCATTGGTCTGTCTGTTGGTATGTGTGTCTTTACCCCTATATAACTTGGAGGGTACCGCTAGGATATTGATGAGATTTTGACACAAGATTGCTACTATATCAAGGAGGAAAAGGCTGTTTTTTTTAAATCGATATAGTAATGTCAAAAAACCTTAAAAAGAAATAACGCTCAAACTTCGTTATTTGATGTTTCAGAAGCTTCTTCTTATTTTCGAAAATTGTTTTAGAATGGTTGAACGTTGGAGATATGGGGTTGTGTGGGGTCGGAGATTGTAAATGTAAATCTTTGGTCATTAATTTATCAAGAAGAAGCTTCTGATACGGTAATAACGAGAAATTTAAATCAAAAAAATCCGCACAATTTGAAATATTGTAACGCGTAGTACCTGGCAGTCTTCGTCGCGACATGGACTGGGATAGCAGCACAAACGACGCCACTGACTTCACGCAGAACCAGTCACTGCGTTATTGCTTTGCCAAGCCGCCATTGAAGGGAAAAATAAATTGAAATATAATTGGGTGATACTAGAGTCTATCGAATTATGACACATATTGCTATCTATTACCAGAATCTACCACTGCAAGAGTCAACAGCAGCTATCTATTGAAACTGTGAATTATCTCGGTTCGTGTCGACAGCCGAGACATCAGTATAACCCCTTGATGCCGTCGATTAGGTACCAACACACATATTGTCAGTGAAAGACGGTCTAATATTGAAAAGCTCTTGATAACGGTTTTACTACGCACCTGTTAGATACAATAAGCAACATATTTTCCATATATCTGCCAGTGAAACAGAACTATGATAGATTTGTTTCATTTCAAGCAACTTATTGGAGCAATTTGCTTCAAATTGCAGGAGCTTTTGTTTCAAGACGATTAGCTCACAAGTCTTGATGTGGAACAAATAACACAAAATTGAAGCAAAATCGCATCTCTCAGTGGAAAGTCGCACAAGTAATTGTGAAACCTGACAGCTCATAAGAATTGCAGGGCTGGAGAGATGTTTTACATCCTGTTAGTAATTTCATATTATTTGTGTTTTCTGGACTGTTTTTAAGAATCCACTTTCTTGGCTCATTGGATATAAGTTCATAAGCAAACTCATCATCGAACAAAGCAGTTTATATCAGTTAAAGACAAAATATATCAGTTTAGTGAAACAAACTTGTTTGCTCACTATTTATAAATTAGGAGAAAAACAGTTCTTTGATGAATGACACCTGAAATCAGTTTACCTTTGGTAGTGGTTCGAAGAATGGACCAATCCATAAAAGTATCACAACTAAGATGCTGCATGATACTAAGGATACGACTTGAGTTTTACCTCCAACTACTTGTTGAATCAACGATCTTGACAGCGATGCGCAAATTGAAACGCAGTGGAAGCAGGAACCTACAATATTTGACAAACCCTGAAAAATTCAGAAAACCATATACAAAACCAAAACTTCTTAAAAGGTCTAAGATTCTTAAACCCTAGTCCTGGAATGTTTTCCGAGGTTTACTCAAACATAGTTTGACTCGCGTACGTATTAAGAAATTATGTTTGAGTGTTACTTGTATTTCGTAATAAAAAAGACTTTTTAAATTATTTTCTATAAGCTACCATTCTTAAATGAATATAGAAATAGAATATAACGTGAGATATAAACTATATGTTTCGATATTTAAGCAAACCAAGAAAGGACGTGTTATAAATATGTGCTTACCAATGCTAAGAGTTCCTGGTTAGAATCAATTTCGTAGTTTAATTTCTGAGCGAATATCAGTGCCATGGACAACGTTACGGCGTATGATACAATTGCAATAGTCAGTCCATCAACGATCACTGCTGGTATTAATGCGAACTGTGGAAGCTCCGGTGAAGGCAATCTGTTAATTAAATTTAGGATTACTGAAACTATTCAGTCCTAACTCCAACGATATTTGAATTAACGTACGCACCTATTTCTTTAATTTTTCAATAGGAAATTAAAACAGCAATTGGTTTAAAATGGGCGAGGGAATACCCTAAGTCCATTATTTATTTTCTTATAGCGGCCGCACAGGTAGAAGCTTAAAACCAGGGCACCACGGCTGCTATGAGGAGCTTTCTTAACCCGATTTTTTAACCTCCTAAAGTTAGTAGAACAGGGAAAAGCCTCCTCATGTAGATTGTTTCACAACCTCGATACCTTAGTGCCAAAGAGCGGTCGTATCGGCCAGTCCTGGATGTATGAAGTTCGACACGGTTAGGAAGGGAGGCTGGAGTCTGACAAGAGCAAAGTCAGTTGACGTAGCGGTAGACGAGAGCCAGATGGCTTACGGCCCGTCGGTGCGAAAGATCCCAAGACTGTCAAAGAAGAGTCTCATTGATCAGTCGGATAGCCCTTCTGTGAACAGCATCGAGCATGGATAGTGTAGTCAGGGCAGCAGCACCTCAAGCATGTGAGCAGTACTTGAGGTTAGGTCTTATCTGGGCCTTATAAAGAGTGAGGATGTCATGTGGAGAAAATACATCTTACCCCTAAATAAATAGCCTAGCTTGATCAAGCCGAGGTTGTTAGTCAAGGTACAGTACTGCCTGTCGCTAAACAAGCCGTGACGACCAAGGTAGATCCTTTTTGTTTTGGGCTCAACATTTTTTTTTTTTATACTTCAACTACCACGAAGGCCTAAGGCCTAAGCACCCATTGGGTACCGTGGGGCTATAGGGGGATACATGGGAAAGGGGGAACGCCACACGGACTCTGGCGAGGGAACACGTGTGCATGCAACATGCACACATTCTGGCTCCGCCTACGAGATCCGCCGGGTGGTACCTCCACGTTCGACAGTCAGAGACCGTCTACCACCTACGGACAATCACAACATCCATAGCCAAGAGAAAAATTTCTCCTGGGACGGGACTCGAACCCGCACAGCGTACGGCGACTGATCAGGAGACCGAAGAGTCTACTACTGCGGCCTCCGCTGCTGCCTGCTGCCTACATATTTTATACAAAATTTTTCCCTTTGAACATTTTCTAACTGACACACATCTTGATATCATTACTTAATTTATTAAATTCGTACAATCCCTTTTGAAATACTGACTTGCTCGTTATATTGACACTGCATGAAAGTCTATACTTCCTCTAGTAGAATAATTGTTGCACTTATATTATACAATAACATTTTCTAAGTGATTTGGTAGAAGATGCTATTTTAACTTGAATATGAAAATGAAAACCATGACAAAAACGTTTATCGTACACGTATAAAATATCATTTTCCTCCAAGTATCTATTTTCATGCTTACCCTTGTGGTATGTCTCCTACGACCCTCACGCCATAATTATCTGCTAGGTTGCAGTAGTATGATACAGTTGATCCCAATACAACTGCTATCAATTCTATAGGTATGGGAAACACTGATCGCTTTGCTACTAATGGCTGAAAGTGTAAAAGATTGATCACATATAAATTCGTTTCCAACGAATTCACGGTGCATGTATATCGATATCTGTAGTGTTATAACGAAACTTTATAGCCGACTTTGCCCAAATATCACAAAATAATACTCCAAAACAAGAATTGTTGCATTTCTATAACAACAACTCCTTGCTTAATGAAACCTTCTCATTTAACCTAATCGACGAAGATTTTGTTTTAAATAGTATCCTCAGTATCAAGACGAAGGCTTTTGGCGCTGATAGCCTGAACGTTACCCTGATTTCCTTGTGTTGCCCTTTTATAGCTCCTTATATTACCCATATTATAAATAGTTGTATTAAAAGGTCTTATTTTCCTAAAAGCTGGAAGCTGGCCAATGTTCTTCCATTAGCTAAGGTTAACAATCCGACAGAATTTGGTCAACTACCTTCAATCTCGCTGTTGCCGACCCTTTCTAAACTTTTGGAAAAGGCAATCGCTATACAAGTTGCTAACTACGTTTTTGCCACAATATCATCCCCCCTAAACAGTCAGGGTTTAGGACCGGTATAGTTGTTCTACAGCATTAACAGATCTTGTGGATGATGTCATCAGAGAACAGGATGCGAGAAATGCTACTGTCTTGGTGTTATTGGACTACACCAAAGCATTTGACATGATTAATCATGAGATACTAGTGGCTATTTTGAAATATATTGGATTAGAGCAGCCGGCCTATGCATTACTAAATTCTTTCTTATCTGAGAGGATGCAGCGCGTGACTTTGGACGGGAACATATCAGATGCAGTTACAATTACATCAGGGGTGCCCCAGGGCAGTATTTTGGGTTCATTATTGTATAGCCTATATACTTTTAATTTCATGAAGTCGCTGAGTTATTGTCAATACCATCTTCATGCTGACGACACTCAAATGTATGCCTCCTTTAAACCTGATCTGTCAGAACTTATAACAAACCGACTGAATACCGACTTAAATAGCCTTCTCAAAACCTCTGAAGATCACTTGTTAAAGATAAACCCTAGTAAATCGACGGCTATATTGTTTTGTAGTGATTCCTGCAGACACGTATTAGAAGATAATATTAAGCTCAAACTAGGTGACAATATATCATTTAGGGATTCCGTGAAGGATTTGGGCTTAGTGGTTGACTCTAAACTTAAGTTTAGAGAGCACATTACTCTGTACCTAAGAAAAGCATATTCAATGTTAAAAATAATTTACCCCCATAGACATTACCTATCACAAAATACTAAAGCCACGCTCTGCGAAGCTTTAGTGTTGTCCCACATCAACTTTGCTGATATGGTATATGGACCATTTTTTGATAGTGTGGAACTAAAATGGGTCCAAAAAGCTCAGAATTCTTGTCTGAGACTGATATTTGGCATAAGGCACAAACTACCTGAACTGGGATGGTTGAATATGGCTCAGAGGCGTACCTTGCACTCTACTTCCTTTTTTTACAAGATTATAAAATATAAAAGCCCTCCTTATCTTCACTTAAAAATTAGTTACCGGACTGATGTACATAATCTAAACATTAGAAGATTGAATTTGATTACAATACCATCACACAATAAAGAATCATTTAAGAAATCATTCTCATACCAAATTGCCTTTTTGGTAAATAAATTCAAAATTAAAGATTTTTCTGTCTCGGTAGATTCATTTAAGAGGAACCTTAAACATGATTTACTGTCTCAGATATCATAGAAAACACATCTCTTGCTCCCCCTTTTCTCTTCTTCTCTTTCCCCTCGCTTTCTCTTCTCACTCTAAATTTCCATTTCTCTACTTACTATACTTCGCTATATTTCTTAAGTTTAAAACATTATTAATTATCAATGTCTTAATAGCCATTTGTCTTACTATAGAATTGTTTAAATTTGTTTGTTTTTTTTGGCTCTAGCAGCTGCTTCTTTAAGGGGCAAGCCGATGTAGCCCTTTATCCTCTTAAGGCTTTTTTTGTTTGTAAACTTTGTATATACTGTTTAATGAGGGCAATAAATATTATTATTATTATTATTATTATTATTATTATTATTATTATTAAATGGCACATTCTAGCCATTGGCCAATCTACTTAACCAATATTTGTAGTCCAAATTGAGTAAAGTAATAACGCTTCCAAAAGTGCTACCAAAGGTTCTGTGATAGTGTGTGTTGAAAATATATTGTTTTAATAGTGACTTTTTGATAGTCTATAAATTTGCATAATACCACTGCAGATATTGTTACATTACCTTTAAGACTTCATTGTTGAACGATGTTACTGAAATAGTTACAGCTGATATTATAAGAGCAGCTGTGTTAGCAGATCCTATGTTTTCTGCGATCGCATGTAATGTCTGAAAATAATAAAGAAATTACGTTAAGCAGGTTGGCTCTGTGCATCCCACGCAACGCTGTCATCAGTTCATAAAGGATTATGTTCAGCGCAAGTTACACCCTCCGAGAAAAAAGTTAGTTACGATCATGTATATCAGAGAAAGTAAACGGATCAAGTCAGTCAAACTGGTTCACACAATTAGTCCATACACCTGCCCTATCGGTAGTTCATCTGGCAACGTCGATACCTGATGGCACAACGCAGCAGACCCGGCAACGCGGCAGTAAGGCTCTACCAAGATTGATACGCATAGCGATGATCCCAGCCAGCAGCAGCAGTGACGCGTATCGGAAGCGTTTTTCTATAATTCCAAGTTTTAAGTGCAAATCTATGATATTTTAAGTATGTAGCTAACATCAAAAAATCTAGATCTCTCCCCCGCCCCTTACAAGCCTCCAATTTCTTACCCCTTAAATATTAAAAAAAAATGATCAAGATCCTCTGCGCCACTACTGGACCGATATTAAAAAATGGATAAGCTTTTTCGTCCTTGGCGTAGTAGTAACCTTAAGTTTAAATTTCGTCAACATCCGATCGGTACTTTCCAAGATATAGACGGACCAAGGTTTAGTGAGACAGATCCCAATAGACTGACAGAAATGAGTTACATGGTTTTTCGTGACGAACGTGTCATATAATATCCAAAAAACATATCTTATTTTCGAAATTTTCCGCGATTACAATACTTCTTGGCTAACAGGCGTGGAAAGTAAAATGGATAGAACAGTTTTTTCTTAAAAAACTTGCGTAATGTACCAAATCAATGATTGCAGTCCCAAATTGATGCTGTCAAACAATACATCTTACTTTATTACTATCTTCCTCCCTCATGTTCGCAAATCCAAAAACATATTTTTTTATGGACAAATAACAACCCCATGATTCAGAAAATGTTTTAGAATGATTAACAAAACATCAAATAATGTTCCTTACCTGATATACTACAAAGTATCCTTTGAATTTAGGTATTCGAAGACCTAATAAATCTTTGAACTGAGAAACAGTAACTTGAATGGCAGCCCCAGTAGTGAAACCGCTAACTAATGTTTCAGATAACACAGCACTCACTGCACCCAACTTCAATATATGCATTGCTATCTAGAACAAAAGGCTAATTACACCGGCCGACAAAGGTGAACCAACCCTCTTGCCCAGAAGGCAGAGTATACTTTCACAAAGATTTTTGGTGCGCTGAATCCAAATATGTGATTAACATTTTTCAACTTTAGTTTCCCAGATATGCAAAAACCGCAATGTTTGCCTATATTTGAGGTTGTGCAGCATGACTAAGTATTTATCTTATAAAAAAACATATATTTACATCGTTTTAAAGTACAAGCTTGCCCTTCAAACATCCGGTAGGCTTTGGCACTTTGAAGCTTCCATTTTTCTGAACTTCACTATTTATGTGTTTGCCCTCTATCCTACTGAACATGCATCCATTTATCATTCAATTTATCCATCCATCTATTTATGTATCTACCTATGTGTCCAATCTATATCTGTACATACCATATAACAGTTTACTTATTAATCTATGTCTGTGTCAGTCTACATGTCCATCTATCTATCTATGCCTCCATGGATGGATATGTATATCCCTGTATCGATCTATAGATCGATACCTAACTATCGATTGTACCAACATTGGAGTGATTATCAAAATATAGTTAATTGCAGCCTACGCTTTTTTACCATAATTGATTTTTTTGTTAATATCTTAATTTCAATTTTCTTCACAATATTCATTTGCTTTCAAAATTTCTAATTTTTTCCCAATTTTTAAATCCAAATTTCTTCCCAAATTTCAAAATCTATATTTTTCTAAATATCCAGTTTTTTATCATTCCGAAATTTCCAAATTTTCTTCATAATTTCCAACTATTTGCAACATTTCCAATTTTTGTCAAAATTTCCAAACTCTAAGATCATTTTCTGGATGTCAGAATTTTCCAATCTGTTTTCCAAATTTCAACATCAATTTAATTTTTTTTTTTAATTCTTAAATTTTATTTTTTTTCCAAAATCGTATCATCGGCCTTTGTCCCTTGTGCAATTTTTCAGGTTAATCAGATATACTGAAATTGGTGAAAATCAGGTCGAAAAATTCCGCTAAATACAAGTCACACGCGTGTTAAAAAAGCATAGTCAAGCAAACTCAAAGATACCTGGAAGGGCAACCTTGTGCTTTGAGATAATATCTGTTTTTTTTTAATACAAAAGTCAAACCTCAAAGATCGTTATTTTTCCACCTTTAGGTTAGGATATATGGTCTCTGGGTCAAAATCTTGTCGACCTGTGTTATTCAGTTTATGTCACCCGAATTATCGCTTCTCAAGTGAGTTTACCTGTCAGTGAACCTGCACTTGACTGCATCACAGAGCATTCTTATAGAGACTTAAGAGTACTAAAACTACTTTGCTGCACTCCAGACTAAAGCTCTAAGAACATTTTGTGGGTTCAAGTTTAACGCAAGTCAATCGTAGGCTCCATTTAGGATTAGAAAAATAAGTTATTTAGAAACCAAGATGATATTGTTTCTTGTTAGCGTAGTGGCTTAAAAATTACAAATTCCAATAAATACACATGCCTGCCAACTTCTTCGATTTGACTCTCATTTGACTACTCATTTCATCCAATGTAATTTGCGTACCTGAAACATTGCTACAGTAAATGTCACTGTAGAAGCTACTTGCATTGGTGAATACCCAGTTGATGTATTAAGAGACATTGGTATGGTATCCAAACTTCTAAAATACACCGGGTCACTATGTTCTAAAACTGCTTTTCCAGTCATCAGACATACCACAGCAAACGTACCTGAAAACGTATCGGAGTAAGAGCCCAGGGCTACCAGATATTGTTTATAGCTTTTACCGAAATTAGCAGGTACTAAGGAGTCGAAAGCACCTACAAACGCTATTCAATGTCCCAAGTTCTTTTTTTTTCAGAAAATAAGTTAATTTCTAGCATACCTGAGATCTTGGAATATATGAATGTGAGGGAAAAGTTTACTTACCCATAGAATTGTGTCTTGAAGTACCAAATATGAAATAAACTAATACTGGGAAAAAGGCCATGTATATCCCTACTATTGCTGGAACATTTGCCAATAGAGCATACGCCATACCTATACATATTAGAAAATCTGCTGTACACCAAGAAAAATAATTGTTTAACATATGAGGATATTCATGGACATAATACAAGAAACAAGGCAAACTTGAAAAGGTACCAGATTAGTCCTGGGTACTAGGCAATAAAATTATTTAATGTTGTACCAGATAATTGAATTAGGTTACCGGTATAAAAATTTCACGTAAAAATGATAAATATTTTGCTAATAACATGTATTTATTTAATAGAACATTTTTAAAATTGTAAATTTGACCAGATGAAAATATGTTTCATTTATTTCACAAAGATTCTGTAAAAACATGAATAAATGATATGAGTACCTACAAGATACATGCGTTGAAATTAATGAAAATCCCAAAGCATACCTAATTTTGTTAATATTCATTCAGTAATTTTGTAGCCTTTCCTGAAGAAGAAAATAATAACCATTTTCGAAGGTTTGATATGAATACAGAACAAATTTCCTTTCTGGCCTTCTGATTTTCGATTAGATTACCTCATTTTATTTTTGTCACTTCTATAAGCTCACCTTGTGGTATATGCATTATCGCAACAGTAATTCCTGAGACAATGTCTGACATCAGATCATGCTTCCAATTGTAATGACTTAGCCATTCGATAACTGGTACTCTACTTGATATAACTTTCTTGAGTGTCACCTCTTTTGAATCGCATGGTGAAGGGCATACTGTAAAAAAATATTGGATAACGTTTAACTGTTGCAGTAATGACATAATGTTGTTTACCGTCCCGCTAGCAGCAAGAGGGAAAGCATACATTTAAAATAAAGCCAAATCAACCAATGGGAAGGATACCTTTTAACTCTATAAAATACGGCTCAGCCCAGAACCATTTCAATTTATTAAGGCTATGCAGAATTAAATAGAAAATTTTCAAAACTGGTATCTAGGTTAACGTTTATGTAATACAGTATGTCCCAATCTTGACATGCATATTTGTCTTTTTGTTAATAGAATACCATATTTTTTGCATATTCTTATAGCCCACTCGAAAAGCAGATTTATATAATATACTTATAGGCGGCTACAGACACACGCTTATGACTTAATGCATAAACGCGCGTTCGTAAACGCGCACTCAATAACGTCAATGTGTATGCAGATATCGGCAGCGTTCATGAACGTGCGTTCAACATTGGCGTGGCGTGCAAATTTCAGTTATCTACAGAAATTTTAAAACCACGTGCAGAGACGCGCATGCAAGTCTCAACGTGTAGAGCCAAAAGAACTTGCGAATTCCGCAGACAATCAGAGGTCAGTGCCGTTGATCAACGAAGTACGAATTATCTTCGAGTAAGTAATTTTTATTGATTGTAGAGATATCTCGAGACTTCACCAGAGAATTCATTGAATTGTACATGTCACATCCTTGTCTCTGGCAAACGAAAGCAAAATAATGTCTAGATAAAAATAAAAAAATGCAGCATATACATTGTTAAAGGAAAATTTACAAAGTATTCAACCTCATGCTACAAAACAATCAGTCATAACAAAATTAATACTCTGCGTGGTGGTTTCCGAAGAGAACATAAAAAAGTACAAAATTCGAAAAGAAGTAGATCTGCGTTGTAAGATGTGCCATCCCTGTGGTATTACAAATTACTGTTATTTCTTAAAGATCAAGAGATACCAAGACAGTCTGTTTGAAATATTGGAAGTAAAGAAGAAGTGCATGACGACGTGGAAGAGACGCAAATAGATGAAGAGGCTAACTTTAATTTTTAAGTGATAACAATTCAAAAAACTACTTCTTAAACTGACGAAAAAAGCAAAAATTTTGATTGTTATGACTGCACCATTAATTATTATTATATCATTCGTTCTTGGCAACTCAGAGCCCCTTCTTCGTTAAAAAATTGAGTAAACTCTTGACGCACATGACTTGCTTCGCTACTGAAGTTTCTGCTATGGCTACGTTGCAGGTTTGCTAGTTGCTTAGGATTTGCTCTAAGCCCCATTTGCACCGTTCCGTCTGTACGATTTTCTTGATCTAAAGAATCAATGGTGTGTAAGACATTTGCGTCTTAAGAAATTATGCAGGACGCATCAAGCCATTACGACCTTGTCTGTCGATTCTATCTGTAGACTGATAGCTGGCTGAAGTACTTGAAATCTTGCTGATAGTATGCCAAATGAATTTTCAATTTTGCATCGTGCCCTTGATAAGCGGTAATTATAAATTTTTCGATCACGATTCAGGTCGTTGTGACTGTAAGGTTTTAAGAAATCACTACGTAATGCAAAAGCTTCATCTCCAACGAATACAAATGGTAGCTCTCTGTCACTGTTTCGTGGGCAAGTTGCAGGTGGCAGCTTTAATGTTTTATTTTTTAATTTTGTGTAGAAATGAGTGCATGCTATGACTCCTCCATCCGATATTCGACCGATGGTACCAAAATTACACATTATAAATTCATAAATCGCATTACATATAGCCATGAGAACTAAACTGTTATAACCCGTGAAATTATAATACTCGTAAAATGCTCCGCTGCCCGGTAATGGTTTGATTTGAACATGCTTGCCATCTACGGCTACCACACAATTAGGAAAGTTGCATACTTCTTCAAAGCCTTCAGAGATACTTTTCTATTCTGATTCTGTTGTAGGACACTGTAAAAATATCAATTATAAAATATATAAATATATAGTATAATATGTGTGTATTATTTTCAGGCAGGTGATGCCGTATCTGAACAAACTGAAATGGAGGCACATTCAGAACATAATATGGCGAGCACATCAAGACCTTCCTCATCAGCACTATCCAGTCGATCATCACCACCTTTACCCAAAAGGTCCAAAAAATTCAAAGCACATCACCAAAATATTAATAAAACAGATCAGATATTAGACATTGTCGGTACAGGACTCAATAAACCGACAGACGAGTTCAACCTTACGGAAAATCGATAGCAATCAAATTACGGCGATTGCCAAGAGAAATACGACTATATTCAGAAAAGTTAATAAACGATATCCTAATTCAAGCGGAGTTAGGAAAAGTTAACGGACATACAAGAATAACGTCTTAACCCAATCAACTCCAACCAACACCAATTAATAATAGTAATACATTATTCCCTCCGCCACCAAACTGTGATCCCATCTGGACTCAGTCTACACCAACCAACCAACCAACCAACCAACCAACAACAATTAATAATAGTAATACAGCTGCTGTGTATTACGGCTCTTATAATCCTTTACAATAATTAATAATATACTGTTATGGATATGCTATGTTTTTCGTTATTTAATGAAAATATATTTTATATTTTTTATTTTTGCTGTAGTACGTGGTATATAGATGAGCATGTTTCAGGAATTATTTCGCTCAACGCTTGCGGAGATATTATCGTGGAAAATCTTAAATCGTGATGATTTCGTCGAGTCGCCAAATATCGAAGGGTTGCGGTTAACCGTTCGTGTACACTTATTGCAGATCTCATAACTGTGTCCTGATGTTTTATTAGCGGTGTAACAAATTTCTAACAATTCTACATAGGTATCCTTAGATAATCACGCCAATCATCGAGTTCTCCTTTCAATTCTTCCAATAAGTTAATATGTGAAAATTACTGCCTTTTCAAAAACCATTCCTTAGACCACAGGCGACGACGCTTTTTCGACTTTTTGGCACTTTTGAAAACGTAATCGCACGCCACTGCCATAATAGCAAGCTCTTCATCGGACGACATCACGACTTCTTTCGTCGCGCACACCGATTAAAAGTAGGTAGAAAAGTTTGAGCGTCTGTACATTTAGCAAATTCGTGTCGATGCATGCACGTTAATGCACGCGAGCTCATGAATTCAGTCATCAGCATGCGTCAGTAGACGCCTTATGAGATTTGATTATGAATTGTTGAGCTATTGGGTATTTTATCAGAAAAAAAACAATAAAGTTTTATGGCCTGCACTCCTGCTATCTTGGCAGGCGCAGCAGTACATTTTGCGCCAATACTTTTTATTGTCCTAACCTTTAACCTAATTGATTCATTTTCTGAATTCTCCGAATGATCGATACAGGGTGGCTAAGATCATAAAATCTGCTTTTTCTTAAAAAAATGAATCTATATTTTAACATTTTTGGATCCTACTTTTTACAAGCTTTCCTTGATATAATGGTCAAGGAGTCTTATGTGATTTTTTACATAACATAAACAATTGATCCATTATTAAATCTGCAACCGTATAAGAAGGATATACAAAATTCTCGTTTTTTGACGTTTCAGAGCATCCTGGTCATTTTTAGGGGTAAACGATGGGGCGGGGAGGATTTATACTGGTTTTCGAGGGTATATCTTAATTTTTTTCACCTACGGACGTGATGGTCTTGGTAAGTGTCCTGGCATTACTGCCGTTGTGTGACGCGACGTTGCCAGATAGACGGTACTACCGATAGAACACTAAAAGAATGTCTATGGACAAATTGTATAGGCGTGTTTGACTCACTTGATCCGTTTATTGATGTTCCTAACGGTGTCCCAGAGGGTCTAAATGCAGAGTCGACCTACTTGACGGCATTTTTTTCAGTTTGCATAATCCCATTTGTAACAACCAATATAATAGTTCTGACAATAATCACGTATACTTATACCAAATGTATGATAAAATTGATCATTTTTTATAGCAACTCAACTGCAAAATGAATTTTCGTGTAGCATGCTATCAGACCGTACCAATGATTTATATTTCTCCAAACCTATTACCATTTAGATGGAGGTCAATCAAATAACGACATACGGAAGTACATATACGACCATACGAAGCTTGGAAAACTTTAAAATGGTCCAGAAGAAGAATAATTACAATTAAAATAAAATATTAATAGGAATAGCCCACTCGAGATATCGTAACGTAATTATTTATAACAACCGGGACCAAATAAAATATAAATTATCCATGTCAAAGTGCATCTTGACTACGAATCCCATATGTTTCTTTTTTATTTTCTATGTCACTGGGCAAGGAAGTATCGTAATCACGAAATATTTCTGAGAGATGAGATGAGTTATTGTTTTTTAAATGTTGTCCATGGCTCGTCTATAACTATTTTGAAGAAAATTTCATACAATGCTGCTATTATGCCAAGGACGAAAATGCTTTGTAGTTTTTAAAAATCGGTTCAACAGCGGTAAAAATTGCTCAATATTCGTCGATTTAGACATTTAGAGGGTCCTGGTCGTATTCAGAAAAATTTTGGTAGGGGTTGAAATTCGGGGGTTCCGACTTGTAGGGCGTGTGAGAATTATATGATGTTATAGGCTCCCAACCCCAGTAATTATATGCACCTCTTAGCCATATTTCACACATTATAGATTCCCCCGTATATTTGTCTTTACAACTTAGAATAATAAAGAAATGTTTTCAATCTGCGTACTCCGCTATCTAAGCTCAGTGGCCGGCGTATCTGTTCGGCAGGCTATTCTATCCGTACTGCAGCGCACAAAATATATTCACAAATGCCAGATGGACAGTAACTACCGGTAAAGTAAGAAAAGTATGTATAGAGACTAATTGCATTGGCCTGCTTGAATGACTTGATCTGTTCAGAGGGTTTAACTTGTGCTGGACTTAGTCCCTCATGAACTGATGACGGTGTTGCATAGAAAGTGTAGAGTCAACCTTCTTGGTGCTATTTTTTCGTTTTTTCAGAGCCTATC